AATCGGAGCTATTCAAGAGAGATCCATTTTTTGGGGAATATGAGTCAAAGTTTTGAATTTTCTCCACCAGTGACTTATGTAGTGATCGACATTTTATAAACGACTTGTTGAGTCTACAAAACTTTGTTTCTTGTAGTCAACCAGTAATGCCTCTTCCTTCCTTCCTGCTCAGAATGCCTAATGCCTATTATCTAGTGCTAGAAACTCACCCTTTGAGTATTGCTTTTAGCGCAAGAGGCCAAGCATTATGCCAGACGTCCCAACCAATAACAAAAATATTTCTAATGGAGTATTTTGCAGTCATCTTGATAGTTTTTTTCAATTTACTTATGAGAGGAGAAAAAGTCTTAATTGTGAGGTCAAGTCATTCTAATTGTGGAATTGGTGTGATGGGATGTTATGTGGTTGGACATAAACATTAAAGTCATAGGGTCTTTTTGGTTTGCGTTTTAAAAAATAGTGTCCGAAAACAGTTTTTGAAAAGAGTTTTAAGAAAGCGGTTTTGATATTTTTTGAGATAAAAAACTTGTTTGGTTAGATGATTTCAAAAATAATTTTACAATATAGAAAATAGTAAAATTTGTTTGGACAACCTAAATATATATTTGAACAGGAATTCAAACATTAATAAAAAAATATAAAAAAATTATTTTTATATTGACAATTTCATAACATATATATACCCATATCTGAACATTCAAAATTGTTTTTCTTATTTCTAAAATTTTCAAAGAAAATTCTAAAAACAAGCTACATTTGTTTTCTGTTTCTTTGACTCAAATCTCATTTTTTCCAAAATTTAGAGAACAAAAATGATAAACAAACAAATTTTAGGTGTTTTCGAAATTTTGAGAACAAAAAATAGTTTCNTTTTCTGTTTCTTTGACTCAAATCTCATTTTTTTCCAAAATTTAGAGAACAAAAATGATAAACAAACAAATTTTAGGTGTTTTCGAAATTTTGAGAACAAAAAATAGTTTTCGAAAATTAAACTAAACATGGCCATACTCTTTCTTTAAGTTGCACAATTCTGGGAAATATGAGTCGAAGCATCAAGCTTTCTTCGCTAGCGGGCTTATGTAGTGGTTGGCATTCTATAAGTGACTTGTTGAGTCTATAAAACTTTGTTTCTTGTAGTCGGCCCATAATGCCTCATTTCATTTGCTTGCCTCCTAGCTCAGAATGCCTAATGCCTATTATTTGGTGCTAGAAGCTTACCGTTTGGGTGTCGCTTCTAGCGTAGGAGGCCAAGCATTATGCCACAATAACAAAAGTATTTTTAATGGAATATTTCGCAATCATCTTAGTAGTTTTTGTCAATTTACTTATGAGAGGAGAGAAAGTCTTAATAGTGAGGTCAAGTCATTCTAATTGTGGAATTGGTGCGATGGGGATGGGGATGTGGTTGGACACAAACATTAACATCATTATTTTTCTTTAGGTTGTACAATTATGGTGAAGACATGGTTTCACATAATCTTTGTAACCATGAAGGTCAATTGAAGATCCTGTGCCACTTGAACTCAAATCTATCTTATCTTCAATTCATCTTTGTCCACCTGCTCATAGCAATACGCTAGACCAACCTCACGGTTGACACAACCGAATTGGTTGAGAAAAAGGAAACCCCAATGACCAAGCACTTTCGCTAAGAAAAAGTGAAGACTGAAGAACCGCCAAGTTGTCGAGGACACATCTAAAGAAGGGGTGGGAAACATTATTCGTGGACGCTAGTGAAACAGGTGTTATGTAACAGAAGCCAAAAGTTGAAGAGTGTTCTTTTTCTTTTTCTTTTTGCATTTATTGGGCTCCTAAATTGTAGCGGTACACGTCTTTGCCCAAGAATCATACAAGCATGAGCTTTTAAAGCTTTTTAACATATTGTACTCAATCACAAATATAACTTGTCGTAGTCATTTAAGATTTGAGTAAGTGCTTCCAAAATCCAACCCAAACCATGCTTATAAGGAAAATTGGATAAACAATTTGCATAAGATCAAAGCCCCAAGTCATCTTCAAATTCTGAAGAAATATTTAGGCTTGGATCTTAAAGATTTGGGAGTGAACTAAGTATATTTAATTATAGAAAAGTTTGACAATGTTCAAGTATTATGTTGAAAAAATATGCAAAAAAATGATGTTTAGGCACTCTTTGAGCATTCACACCAGTAACGGGCAACAATGATCGTTACGCTAGTGTAGGGTTAGCTTTAAAACTTTCTAGAGCCATTATGACAACCGAAAATGGTATGAAGTTGCAAAACATACATTACATGCCATAAGCATTAGTGAAGACATTGTCGCAAACCCTTACCAATACCTAATCATAAGGCCACTTATATAGGAATTATACNTTTGAGCATTCACACCAGTAACGGGCAACAATGATCGTTACGCTAGTGTAGGGTTAGCTTTAAAACTTTCTAGAGCCATTATGACAACCGAAAATGGTATGAAGTTGCAAAACATACATTACATGCCATAAGCATTAGTTAAGACATTGTCGCAAACCCTTACCAATACCTAATCATAAGGCCACTTATATAGGAATTATATGCTTAACTTTCCCTGTATTTAACATGTTTTAATTTTATTTTTTTTCGTGATATAACTTAAAGAATGATGATATCATGCGATGGAGTAAAGGTTTGAGGCTTCAGATGATGCTTATTGCTTCTTGAAGGAGGCCGTCAGATTTCATAGTCTTCTGATAACCGCTATGTCAAATCAACATATAATATGGTCAGGATGGATTATTCACTTTTAAAGTCTTTCCTATATGTGGTATCTTGCTAGTTGCTAGTTGCTAGTTGGATGATAAATCTCAAGATGGAAAACGAGAATCAATGCACGCTTAAGAAGCACGGATATGGACTCGGGATAGATGCGACACAACATGGACAATTAGATACGAAATTTCTCAAACACGTGGCGTAGGACACGAACGCGTTATAGACACTTTACAAATAATTAGGATTTTTATATCCAAATTACATAATTTGTCACTAGTATAGATATAATTATAGTAGTATGCATAAAAATTCAATACTTTATAATAAGTAAATCTTATGTCTAGTTATCTAGTGTGAACTTTTAAACGATCATAGTAGTTAGTAATCATTGATTTTTGAAAAAACAACAATTGGCAAGCATTTTTTAAGTACAATTTAGCATTACTAGCCTTTTAAGCTTTATTAATTACATGTTGATGCATGTTTATTTTTAGTAGCGCACATGACTGAAGAAAGGTCAGGTATGCCAACAAAGAATCGAAGTTAAAAGTTTATTTTTTAATTATGAATATGAATAAAAGAGTATCGGACACACGTTCGAGAGTGTCCAAGAAATGTTCAGTGTCTAACACGTGTCTGAAACGGATACATGACCTTGATAGTTTCCGTACTTCTTAGGTGAACAATATCTATAAAAGTTTCTCTATGTCTAGCAACTAGTTATTTTCAAGAGATGAAACTAATGTAGCCGTATGGAGCGTTACATGGGATCAGACTCGAAGGTTCGTCTTCCAATAATTTCTATATTGAACCAAGACATAATAAGGTTAAGATGGATTATTTGCTTTCGAAGTCATACCTATATGTAGTATGTTGCTAGTTGGGTAATAAATGCCAAGATCAAAGATGAAATTAATGTAGTCATTTGTAGCGTGGATGGGATCCGACTTGAAGAACCATTCTGGCTAGTGTCTAATTTAGATATCTCTATCTATAATAGCTAGCCTAAAAAATTTTGTACAATCTAAGAAACAGATTTACTAGAGCATAAACCAAAATACTAATCTTTTCCTTTCTAAAGTGAGTTCCTAACCAATACGATGTATTTAGATGGCCATCTTTTATTCTTTTNTTGTACAATCTAAGAAACAGATTTACTAGAGCATAAACCAAAATACTAATCTTTTCCCTTCTAAAGTGAGTTCCTAACCAATACGATGTATTTAGATGGCCATCTTTTATTCTTTCTCCATAGAAGGTTTTGGGGACCACAATGGGGATGTCCTGGTAAAAGGCCATCATGTATAATTACAAACTCTTATCTTTGTACTTAGGTTAACTTTTTAAATTTAAACTTGAGGACTGGTTTTTTCCCCATACGGAGGGTGATGTATTTAATTGTGTGGAAGATATATGTGATTGCACTTTAATTCCTTTCTCTTTCTAACAGTGGATTTGAAACTTTGAATTCTCATGACTTAATGGCTAGTTAGACTTCTCTTTATAGCAGCTATTTTTTAAAGGCTATGTAGCTGTATTTGTTGCATATGATATATGCAATGAAAACTAAGGAATCTTATTGTTAAGTTTTTTCCTGTTTTGGAAGAGCAATCTAAGCCCCATGGACATTGTGGTCCTCTAGTTAGGTGAACGAGTGCCTTGAGTGGTATGCTAGATTATTGGCTTCCCACTTTGGCATTAATTGTTCTTTTGCTTGAATATTCAATACCATCATTAAGATAAGCGGTATCTTCATATTTTTTGCTTAATTTTGTTTGTGTCTGAAGTACGCAATGATAAAATGTGGAATCATTGAGAATGAGGTAATCTTAGACTGTATTTAGTGTTTTTTAAATTTCTAGTTTAATCTTAACATGGTAGAAGTTTGTTAGTGTCAAGCACGTGTCCCTTTGTTCAAAGAGGAGGGCAACTCACTCTTGGAAAGTAATGGGAAGCTTAGGTTTGTACAGAGTTTGCCCTATTATACCTAATCATTGAGAAGCTTAGGTATGTACCTACAAGCATTGCTAGAAACATTTTAATATCCGTGGAAAACTCTAAACGTTCTTTATAAATGCAGGGATAGGTGACTGACCAATAAAAAACTCCTACCAAATAAACAACTCATATCAAAATCATTTATCTAGAAGCTTCCTAGGGTTAAACTTTTCTGTTTAACCATTTTATTTATACAAGTCCAAAGAAGACCCCTTTTATTGATTCTTCTATGTTAAATATAATTTCACCTGTCGTTTTGGTTTGATTATTAGGACTTGGTGATGAGAATTATTTCTTTCTCCCAAGAGGGATCGCGGGCTATCTGTATTGTTTCTGCGGTTGGCTTAATTTCAAATGTAACATTTCGACAATCTGATTCCTCAGGTGGTACGGCAACGTATGAGGTGTGGCCCTTCATCTTTATCCTTTATTTTCCCTGAACTATATCTGTGGTGTTAAAAGCCAAAAGTGATGTACATGGCTTTGCGACAAAGTATGTTTTTATTGATTGTACTGCAATAGTCTAAAATCAGGATGTAAAACTACATGTTTTATCAGTCAATATGCTGCAGAGCTTTGATAAATTATAGGGTTCCATAGAAGAATAGAAAGTGNTTGCGACAAAGTATGTTTTTATTGATTGTACTGCAATAGTCTAAAATCAGGATGTAAAACTACATGTTTTATCAGTCAATATGCTGCAGAGCTTTGATAAATTATAGGGTTCCATAGAAGAATAGACTTTTTTAGTAGTGAGGAGTGGATATTGTCCCAGATTATTTTCTAAAGTTAATTTCTCGACTCTGAATTTACTTGGAAAAATTGCAAAAATGGTCTCGTCACTTTAAGATGCAAGATTAGATCATAATCTGCATCTTGATGATCTTTGGTGATGCAATACTCATCATCCGCCCCAATTTTATATACAAAATCATATGCATGCATATCATATTGTTTTAGAGTAGTTTGTGTGATGTTTTTATTTCGGACTAGGTCATAAGCTATGTCACAAGGATTTCCAGTTTTTGGTTGTGGGTGTATTTGCTGATGTTAGGATTACAAACTGTAGTATTTCTTTAGATTTTTTATGTGCATTTAGATATTCTATCACTTTTTTCGTCTTTTTCCCTTCTTTTCTTCGTTTTTGTTTGCTATACTTGAGGGACTATCATGTATAAAGGCCTTAAAATTGGTACGTTGGAGGTTGACAATATTCTGCAAGAAACTGTGGGCGCTGCATGATTTAAGCAATCGAATCATATAACCTTCATCAGCATCATTTGATTCTGTTATTTGTTCAGATTTGATTGATGAGTTTTACGCTAGCTCTCACCTACCTAACACAACCATTCTCCTTTATTTGGGCTCGAGATTGACTGCAAAAGATACACATTTCTGATCGTTTTTTTCCATCATCATTCCTGTAGGGGCGGTTCGAAATTCTCTCCCTCTCCGGATCCTTTTTGCCTATAGATGTTGGGGAATCCCAGGTCGGTAGGTGTGGTGGAATGAGTGTGTCTTTGGCAAGCCCCGATGGCCGGGTGATTGGGGGGATGCTTGCAGGACTGCTTATTGCTGCAAGTCCTGTGCAGGTTTTCTTTCTTTTCCTTTTCATTTATCTATCTGTGTAGCCAAAATCTTAAGACTGGCCTAGTAGATTTTCTGGTTTCCCAAAGAACTTCTGAATGACAAAGGTTTTGGTTTCCTACTGGTTAGATGAAACAACCACTAAATTTTTCGGCCAACTTCCTCATTTATATCAGGTTGTCGTGGCCAGTTTTCTGCCAATCAGCCGCCCAGAGCTAAAACCCAAGAAGGTGAAAACGGAACTCAAGCAGACAACAGCTACAACAGCCCCTTCTGCCACCCCTCACACTTCAAATGTGGACCAGAGTAGCTTCAATGCCAATGAATTTAGCAGTTCTACAGCTGAAAATCAAGACATCGAGACTTTCGCTAATCTCCAGACACTTAGCTGGGCAACTACGCCAACCGTACAAGACTCGACAAAGTCGGCAACAATCAACACAGCTTTGCTGGGAGATTTATCTGAGGCTCCTGGAGCTACACATTTTAGTTTGAATTTGTAACTTAATTGGCTATTAGTTAGCATATGATTGCTTACTATCCTCTGAAACAGCTTATTGATTTGGTTTTTCATTTTCTATCTGCCCCTCACCCCACAGAAAACTTCCCAAAAGTTTGTCAGGCAGGAAATTTGAATGTTTGCCTGGTTATGTAGGTTTTCATCCCTTGTTAGGAGTAGGACCATTGGATTTTAATGACCACCTTGCCTTTCACTTTTCAGGAATATATGTCATCTTTTCTAGAAATATTTGACTGCCCTGTAAATGGGGCACTTGACCCTGGTTAACTCTCTGTCTATGCTTAATATCAGGATTGGCGGACTAATGTAATTCTTAGGATTATGCATTTGATTCTTGGAAGTTTAAAGGAAAAAATTACGAAACGGAACTCAAAAATTGTAACTTAAATGCATATTATCCCTTGTATGGGCGTTGGATGAGTGAATGTCATTAAAAAAGTTAACGAAATTTACTCATTCAAAGGATAATGTATTTTTAATTTGTAATTTTTAAAGTTTTATTTGGGTTCTGTGTCATTTNGAGGTACTCAACCCGAGTGCTGCCCGAGTTTAATTCGGGTAAGCTCGGGTTAAATTCAGGTTATTTAATTTAGATTGATTTCGGATTAAAAATTGGATTAGACTTGTGTTACTTAATTCGGGTTGATTTTTTGAAGTGTAAATTTANTGTATTTTTAATTTGTAATTTTTATAGTTTTATTTGGGTTATGTGTCATTTATCTTAATTTAACTTCTCTCCATGATTGGAACAGTCTGGGAAAAGCCAACAAACACTGGGATCATTCTGAGCCATGGACTGATTATTGGAATTTTTAAGTTGTATTGGGTATTGAGTCTCATTTTCTCTTCTCTCTCTGTGGGCCAATGAAGGTGCTGTTTTGCCTGTTGTGTATTATTTTTCAACCATGCATGATTTTTATTTCACACAACATAGTGAATACATGTATTGCTCACAGATACATATGGTTTAGTAAACCATTCACAAATATTTCTCTGTTGCTCCATGATGGTAACATATGGAACAAGACTTTATGTCAGGTTTTTTTCCAAATTACTTTCCCCCCCCCCTCTCTCTCTTCAAAGCTTCACCACCAACCCTCCTCCCTTTTCTTTCTCAAAGCTCCTCCACCCTCTCTTATTCTCCCTTCTTCCTGGATTCACATCTTATAAAAATCGTGGATAGGGTTCTTAGATTAGTTTCAAATCACAGTATTCTAGTGTACATAAATGCCAGACAACCATCCAATTTACATGAAGTAAAATGTGTTTGGAAACATCAAGACTTACACTTCAACCACAAGGTCATCATTTAATTGATATTTATCTCCCCAAAAATACCATACTTGTGTTTTCACTAGAAGCCAGTTCTCAGGGTACAACAATGAAGGAATATCATCATCAGGTTACACAAGCTTGACAAAAAATGGAAGCCCCAATCCCATCCCCATCCCCATCGCAAAAGTTTCTGCTTATCAGATTCTGCATCACAAAAACATTAATAAACAAATAACTTTGTATACGTAAACACACATATCAGCATTGCACGTCATGCAATTTATACTTCTTTTCTTCACATGCAACTGAAATTAGCAATCTTCCGTTTAATAGAAATAATTGAAAAAAGGAGAAACCGATTCTGTTCTTGAAATTTTGGATATAAATCTACCACCATATCTCTAAATATCTTAGCAAAACTTAAATATTGAATAACCTCAGTAACCAAAATATTTCATTGCTTCCAAATCTCACCGTACTGGTATAAGGACAAGAATTGAGATCCAATGCTCCAATGAGTTTATTTTGTGAATAAGCTCAAAAAAAAAAAGCATTATACCATCATAACTCTTTAATTTAGGAACATATAGTATTGGACCTTTGGCCCAATTATTCTTCTCTGAGAAAAATAGAAAATTGAAGTGCAACAATAACTATTGGTCAGAACCAAATCAAAACCCACAAGAAACCAAGCCAGACTTCAAGATAAGGTTGGTTTCCGAATGATTGAATATATACATATATGTACATACACTAGAAGCCGAACTGAAACTTATCCATTGACACCCCTACATAGCACGCACATTGAACCTGCGTGCAGCATGTAACAAGCAATTGACATGGTCCAATATCATCTATGCCTGAATACAAGAAAATACCTATGGTTATTGTTTTTCCCCTCATTGATATTCTAAAACATTAACTTGACACAACCCAACTCCACTCAACAAGCNTAACAAGCAATTGACATGGTCCAATATCATCTATGCCTGAATACAAGAAAATACCTAAGGTTATTGTTTTTCCCCTCATTGATATTCTAAAACATTAACTTGACACAACCCAACTCCACTCAACAAGCCTTATCCCAAAAACATCAGGTTCAACTGTGGAACAATTCTTTGAAAACCAGCCCACCAAAAAGATCTTTCATTGAACTTACAAAAAAAACTAATTCTAAAACACGGCTTCAATCAACTTTTTGTCAAAATACCAAAGCATTCACAATATAATGGCATGTGAATAATACCATATACCTTCAAGCTTTCACAATCAATGAAAGGGATGATTTTCATATGGAATCCAAATGCTCCTACTAAAAACATCAATTAAAATCAACTACTTACAGTGGAACTTTCAACTGGAGGCATCAATACCCTATCTACTCCTCATCCACGATGGTCCACACCATCCTAAAGACATTAGAAATTAGAATATGTTATACCCCATTTTTTACCAGATCATTCAAAAATCACATATCCATGCTACATATTAAGTAACTACATACCAGAATATGGAAAAGAAAAGAAGGATAACAAGATATCCAAGCTTATATATTCGTTGCTTTTTTTCCCAAGCTAACTGGTTGAAGATCTCAGTTACATCTACCAAATGTCGTCGCTGAGTGTACCTGATCATGAGTTTAGTATGAGTTCTCGGCTGAACTCTTAAATCACCTTTACTAAACTATCAAATGGCAATGATCATACACAATGCTGATGAGTTATTTGAATCATTCTCCCTACTCAGGAAAACAAAATTGTTTTGGACAAGAAGAAATCAAATATCATTGGTAAATCCCTTTTTGCATATAGCTAAATTGAAAGACAATATGTACTTTAAAGTCACATCCAAATGCCACCTGCAAATCTAATACCATCAGAAGAATTCCACATAGGGAATATTGGAGGGTTATTCCCCCAAAACTGTCATATACATCATAAATTGCTCCAAAATTACATTTCCATCTAAACTTTTACCAAACCAGAACCAGTCACCATTATACTCTTACCACAACCAGATTGAACACATTGTGGTAGCTACAAATCCAATCGCAAACCATCAATGATATTCAAATACATAGATGTGAACATGATCATAGATAATTTCACCTTTGAGGAAGGCAGTATGATATTTTGTAGATAGAAGACCATGCAAGTAGCATTTATTCAAGGGAACACATTGCAAATGTATTTATCAGGCACCGCAAAAAGAAGGCCACGAAGAGATCAACAAGCTCCCTTAAAGATCTGCTAACCAAGATATATCGACCTAAAAAGCAAAATGAATTAAAACTACTACATGCACTAGTTTGTGGGTAAATTTGATTTTGCACCCTTACAATTTAAAATTATTTCTGTCTGGTTCCTACACTTTAAGGTCATGCATTAGTTTCAGTTCTTCTGTCCCAATATTTCAATAATTCTAAAAGGAAAAGCGTCAAGTGAGCATCATTTGCCCTGAGTAAGGAGTTAATTTTGAAAAAGCTGGCTCTAATATTATAGTCTGAATCTTCATATTGCATTTGTTGATTCATATGTTGCATTTTTTAGTCGTTGAATTGCATGTATTGGCTCATATTTTACAGATCTGACTTGTGCATTTATTTGGACAAAATGATCCCTATGACAGCGGCACGTCACATTCACATGATGATCTCCTATTATAATATTGAGAAGTTTCGACAGAGGGACTTAATTGAAACACATCTTACAAATTTGGGACTTGATTGCTTCAATTAGTAGTTCAAGAGCCAAATGGAAATTCAGTATAGATTTTGAGGGTATAAAATATAATTTACCCCAAGTTTGTTTGTTAGGTATTCCTGCATAGTTCATCTTGACCATTCCTACCTATGAAGCACGGATACTTCGGCAAGGTCGACGTAACCGTATTGAATACGATACTCGTCAGATACTCGATGATACGTATCGGATACGCATCATCCGTATCCAATAATTAATAAAATATGTGAATATTTCGCGGATACTTCTAAACATGAAACAAGATGTACAATTTTCANACATGACGTAAAAGTTCAAATGACAAACACGTGATTTATCTTTATTTGTTCTAAAAATTAAAATTAATAAATTTATTTAATTGAAAATAATTAATAATTCATGAATTAAATTGAGATAATTAAAAATTTAAAGGCCATTTTAAAATAAAAGATAATGTTTAAATACTAATTATAATAGTTAACCAGACATTTTTCTTTTTGTCAATGGCAACATAATGGTTTTTGACCCAAAAAATAATGAAAATTAACANCAATATAAAATATCAACAAAATTCCATTTGATTTTAAAGACACGAGTATTTTTTAAGTATTATCTATTATTACATGTTAAGAGAATATAAAAAAAAATGAGTCACACTATGCTTTTAAAAATAAATTATTGTAAAACCAACTAGTTAAATGTGGTTATGATTCCTTCAATTGGTCATGCTCATTTTATGAACATATCATAAAGAAACGATATTACATCCTTTTCATGGTAAAAATTCTTAATTTTACTTACTAATATTAAAAAATTATTGAAAAATTATAATTTCTAAGTCATTAAATAATAGTAAAATATAAAATATATTTTATTATAAACGTATCCTGGCCGTACCCGTATCCTATTTTTTTAAGTTTTGCCGTATCGCCGTATCCGTATCCGTATCGTATCGTATCCGTATCACGTATCCGTACTTCCTAGATTCTTACAAAGTTCACCGCTCTACAAGATATAGTGGGAAGAAAGTTGATGCCAAGGTATAACAATGTTGATGGATTGCATTGCAGTAAAGGTATATAACTAAGAACCGAGAAATATTAGGGATGCAAATCGGGCTGGTTAGGCGGGTTGAGAGATCAACTCTAGCCCAACACTAAGTATATAATCTTCAACCCTAACCTTACCTCAACCTGAGGTACTCAACCCGAGTGCTGCCCGAGTTTAATTCGGGTAAGCTCGGGTTAAATTCGGGTTATTTAATTCAGATTGATTTCGGATTAAAAATTGGATTAGACTTGTGTTACTTAATTCGGGTTGATTTTTTGAAGTGTAAATTTGATTTTTTCAAATGTAGATCTAATTTTTTTAAGTAATCTGAGATGAAAGACGGGACGTAGATGAAGAGAGAGGGAGTTAGAGAAGGAGTGACGAGTAACGAGTGAGAAAGGGAGGCTGAGACGACTCAGACTAGTGACGATTGAAAGAAGGAGGCTAAGAGATGGAGGAGTGACGAGTGAGAAAGGGATCTGAGAGTAATAGAGGCGCAAGGATGAAAACTTGAAGTGAAGTGAAAGTTTGGACTCTAAAGAGTGAAGATAAATATTAACTCTAGTTAAATATATTTATGTATATTCGGGTTCAACCCGATTTTAATATTCGGGTTAAACTCGACAACCAGATGACTCAACCCGAGACTTGACTAAATTCAATTTAGGTTGAAATTTTTTTACCCAGGCCCAATCCAAGTATTAAAAATTCTAACACAAACCCTATTTTTTCCGGGTTGAACTACGGTTGATTTCGGGTTGGCCCGCCTAAGTTGCACCCCTAAGAAATATTCAAGTTCTGGATCTCAACATCATGTCTCATGCTTGAGGAGAAAGGCAATGGTAGAGCATCCTTAGTCTCCAAAGTCCAAAACTTTTTAGAAGCATTACTCAATATCTAAAGATGTGTTTCCTAAGAATTTCAACTAGCCAATCATTACGATTTTTATGGTGTGAAAAAGTGAACTAGTAATATAAAGAAGAGAATGAGAAAAAAATGTGCAGGTATTAATTTTACATATATCATTATTAAAGAGTGCAAGAACCACATGTAATTCTATCCTTAATTTTATCTCTATATATTATTTTGAAAATCCAAGTTTAAGGAATTGTACAAGCTAAGGTTCAGAGTTATGGCTGGAAAGTAACTTACAATCTAGCATTGTAGTACAAGTATGGGAAGCATATCAGACACATAAACCAATGTCCTGTTATAAGATGGAGGAGGCAGAGGATTCCTTGAGTAACAAACTCTGGCAGAATAACCTTATTTATCCGAGATGCCGAATCATATGGGTTGATATAATCAAACTCTAAGTCTGCCAAGCACATAAGCTGCAAAATAAGTTTGAAATATAAGATTACTTTGAAGAAAATCCGGAAAGGAAAAAAAAAAAGAAAACAAAGCCGATAAACAACAGTGGCAAAGAAAACTAAACATATATCTCCTCCCCCCTTCCCCCCTCACAGACACACATTCACATAAAATATTTAAACCGTCCTACTCTATGACTCCGTGTGCTATATTGTACTGTTTTTCCTTCAAATAGGCAAAACTCAGAATTTAAGGCATAAAGGTACGAATATCATCACGAAATAGAAGTCTAGATGGGTAAAAAAAAGACTCAAGCGGCTAAAGAGAACCTATAGAAAACAAATGAAATGGAACTATCACATAATATTTCAAACATGCCCCATGTTAGAGCGATATCACAGGGTGCATTGACAAATTCGATCATTCCATAATTCTACTGGAAAACACTTTCAATCTATATCATCTTAAATTCTGTAGGCATTTTTAAGTAAATATTCAAACCTTTAATTTCTTGCAACATCCTAGTATCCTTAAAACTGTATTGTATTCAAAATCACAATCCATGTATTTCCACACGTACAGACAAACACACATGCAGGCTCACAATTACATTTAAAATTTTCCCATGTCATTACCCTTTTGAAACTAAAGAAAAAGGGTTTGTTTTTGATATCCATATGAAATGATTTTCATTTCATTTTTCAAAATTTTTGAAATTGAGCTTGGGAAATTAAAGGAAATCTCCTTGTCTTCAATGTTTTTTTTTTCTCTTTATGAAAAAAAAAAAAAACTGTGAAATATGGATCCATGAGACTATTCTAGTAACCCTCATTCATAACTAGTCAAAAAAATCATGTAGAAAATATAAAAGTGAAGTGATTTCATCTTCGAATCGATAGCCACAAGCAACGACAGAAAACCACAAATACCTATATTTATACGGGTGTGAACAAATATGTTCGTTACCTGGTAAAGGAGAATACCAAGAACAGCTATGAGGAGGAAGAAGGAGAGTAGCCATGCGAATAGATCCGCCATGGCCCTCCTTATTCCTTCTCTCTCCTCTGTTGCTCTCTCTCTCTCTCTCTCTCTCTCCTGCGCTTTTTGGGCAGTCTTTGAAGATATCGGCAATTGTGACGGAGAGTTGCTCGCGTTTTATGCGACTTTTTTCATTTTGCTTTTGACAGGTGATGGTAATAAAACTTTTTGAGCAAATATTGTAATTATGAACTTTTAATTATTTTAATTTATTTCATTAATTATGAATTTCATCTTAATTAAATTATTTTGTTAATTCCACTAGTTAGAGTAAACAGCAACACATGACGTAAAAGTTCAAATGACAAACACGTGATTTATCTTTATTTGTTCTAAAAATTAAAATTAATAAATTTATTTAATTGAAAATAATTAATAATTCATGAATTAAATTGAGATAATTAAAAATTTAAAGGCCATTTTAAAATAAAAGATAATGTTTAAATACTAATTATAATAGTTAACCAGACATTTTTCTTTTTGTCAATGGCAACATAATGGTTTTTGACCCAAAAAATAATGAAAATTAACAGAAGAACCACGTTGAAAAACTTTTGATACATTAAGAATTTAATGTGAAAATTTTAATTTTTTAGAGTATAAAATAAAAAATTTCAAATTTTTTAAAATGCAAAGTGCAATTTTATGTTGAACTTAATTTGGGAGTTAATATGCAGAGCAAATGAATAATAATGATTTGACTTCAATTATACCCGATGGTTGATCAAAAAAATAAATCTAAAAATCTGATTCATTCATTAATCCTTTCAATTCGATTTACTTGAATTAAGAAATGTTCAAATTTTCAAATTTTATGTTTTTTTTGATACATTTAGTATTAAAAAAAAANAGGTATTCCTGCATAGTTCATCTTGACCATTCCTACCTATGAAGCACGGATACTTCGTCAAGGTCGACGTAACCGTATTGAATACGATACTCGTCAGATACTCGATGATACGTATCGGATACGCATCATCTGTATCCAATAATTAATAAAATATGTGAATATTTCGCGGATACTTCTAAACATGAAGCAAGATGTACAATTTTCNAATAAAATATGTGAATATTTCGCGGATACTTCTAAACATGAAACAAGATGTACAATTTTCAATTTTAAGCTATACCCCTTCTTAGAGTTCACATACAATATAAAATATCAACAAAATTCCATTTGATTTTAAAGACACGAGTATTTTTTAAGTATTATCTATTATTACATGTTAAGAGAATATAAAAAAAAATGAGTCACACTATGCTTTTAAAAATAAATTATTGTAAAACCAACTAGTTAAATGTGGTTATGATTCCTTCAATTGGTCATGCTCATTTTATGAACATATCATAAAGAAACGATATTACATCCTTTTCATGGTAAAAATTTTTAATTTTACTTACTAATATTAAAAAATTATTGAAAAATTATAATTTTTAAGTCGTTAAATAATAGTAAATATAAAATATATTTTATTATAAACGTATCATGGCCGTACTTGTATCCTATTTTTTTAAGTTTTGCCGTATCGCCGTATCCGTATCCGTATCGTATCGTATCCGTATCACGTATCCGTACTTCCTAGATTCTTACAAAGTTCACCGCTCTACAAGATATAGTGGGAAGAAAGTTGATGCCAAGGTATAACAATGTTGATGGATTGCATTGCAGTAAAGGTATATAACTAAGAACCGAGAAATATTAGGGATGCAAATCGGGCTGGTTAGGCGGGTTGAGAGATCAACTCTAGCCCAACACTAAGTATATAATCTTCAACCCTAACCTTACCTCAACCTGAGGTACTCAACCCGAGTGCTGCCCGAGTTTAATTCGGGTAAGCTCGGGTTAAATTCGGGTTATTTAATTCAGATTGATTTCGGGTTAAAAATTGGATTAGACTTGTGTTACTTAATTCGGGTTGATTTTTTGAAGTGTAAATTTGATTTTTTCAAATGTAGATCTAATTTTTTTAAGTAATCTGAGATGAAAGACGGGACGTAGATGAAGAGAGAGGGAGTTAGAGAAGGAGTGACGAGTAACGAGTGAGAAAGGGAGGCTGAGACGACTCAGACTAGTGACGATTGAAAGAAGGAGGCTAAGAGATGGAGGAGTGACGAGTGAGAAAGGGATCTGAGAGTAATAGAGGCGCAAGGATGAAAACTTGAAGTGAAGTGAAAGTTTGGACTCTAAAGAGTGAAGATAAATATTAACTCTAGTTAAATATATTTATGTATATTCGGGTTCAACCCGATTTTAATATTCGGGTTAAACTCGACAACCAGATGACTCAACTCGAGACTTGACTAAATTCAATTTAGGTTGAAATTTTTTTACCCAGGCCCAATCCAAGTATTAAAAATTCTAACACAAACCCTATTTTTTCCGGGTTGAACTACGGTTGATTTCGGGTTGGCCCGCCTAAGTTGCACCCCTAAGAAATATTCAAGTTCTGGATCTCAACATCATGTCTCATGCTTGAGGAGAAAGGCAATGGTAGAGCATCCTTAGTCTCCAAAGTCCAAAACTTTTTAGAAGCATTACTCAATATCTAAAGATGTGTTTCCTAAGAATTTCAACTAGCCAATCATTACGATTTTTATGGTGTGAAAAAGTGAACTAGTAATATAAAGAAGAGAATGAGAAAAAAATGTGCAGGTATTAATTTTACATATATCATTATTAAAGAGTGCAAGAACCACATGTAATTCTATCCTTAATTTTATCTCTATATATTATTTTGAAAATCCAAGTTTAAGGAATTGTACAAGCTAAGGTTCAGAGTTATGGCTGGAAAGTAACTTACAATCTAGCATTGTAGTACAAGTATGGGAAGCATATCAGACACATAAACCAATGTCCTGTTATAAGATGGAGGAGGCAGAGGATTCCTTGAGTAACAAACTCTGGCAGAATAACCTTATTTATCCGAGATGCTGAATCATATGGGTTGATATAATCAAACTCTAAGTCTGCCAAGCACATAAGCTGCAAAATAAGTTTGAAATATAAGATTACTTTGAAGAAAATCCGGAAAGGAAAAAAAAAAAGAAAACAAAGCCGATAAACAACAGTGGCAAAGAAAACTAAACATATATCTCCTCCCCCCTTCCCCCCTCACAGACACACATTCACATAAAATATTTAAACCGTCCTACNACATGACGTAAAAGTTCAAATGACAAACACGTGATTTATCTTTATTTGTTCTAAAAACTAAAATTAATAAATTTATTTAATTGAAAATAATTAATAAATTCATGAATTATAAATTGAGATAATTAAAAATTTAAAGGCCATTTTAAAATAAAAGATAATGTTTAAATACTAATTGTAATAGTTAACCAGACATTTTTCTTTTTGTCAATGGCAACATAATGGTTTTTGACCCAAAAAATAATGAAAATTAACAGAAGAACCACGTTGAAAAACTTTTGATACATTAAGAATTTAATGTGAAAATTTTAATTTTTTAGAGTATAAAATAAAAAATTTTAAAATTTTTTAAAATGCAAAGTGCAATTTTATGTTGAACTTAATTTGGGAGTTAATATGCCGAGCTAATGAATAATAATGATTTGACTTCAATTATACCCGATGGTTGATCAAAAAAATAAATCTATAAATCTGATTCATTCATTAATCCTTTCAATTCGATTTACTTGAATTAAGAAATGTTCAAATTTTCTAATTTTATGTTTTTTTTGATACATTTAGTATTAAAAAAAAAAAGGGGAGTAAAAGCCCCTTACACGTCGTCGTTTAAACTGTGTTGTCGCATTTAGCATAAATTTTCTTCGAAATTAGGGTTTGGATTTTCCATTTCTTGGGAGAAAAGAAAAAGGAGAAGGTAAAAAACGTACATCTGAAACAACGTTTTGCCCTGTGTTGTCTAGATCTCTCTCTCTCTCTCTCTCTCTCTCTCTCTCATCACCATGACGAAGCAGCAGGCAAACTGGTCTCCTTATGATAACAACGGAGGGTAAGCTCCGAAACCTCTATCTCAATACATATATCTGTATCTGTAGATGTGGATGGTAATGGATTGTGTATGTCTATGCAGAACATGCGTTGCGATCGCCGGAGCTGATTACTGTGTGATTGCAGCCGACACTCGAATGTCCACGGGCTACAGTATACTCACTCGCGATTACTCCAAAATTAGTGAACTGTACGTATCCTTTCTAGTTTTTTCCCCTTTATTTTTATGTTAATTTTTGTTGTGCGGATCTTTTGTTTGACTTGATCTATATAATCTACCTCGTATTTTCACCTGTGTCGGACCATGGGTTTGGAATTGGAGATTTTTTTAAAAAATGTTCATTTCATTGATCGTAAAAAGTGCAAATTTAAACCGAGATTCAGCTGAAAATTTGGGGAAATTGAAAAAAAAGTTAGTTGATATGCAAACATGGCCCTGAATTTGCTATTTCATGCTCACTTGTAATAGATTTGAAACTCAAAAAATCATCAAAAATGAAGTTGGTTATCTGCCCACCAAACTGGATATGTACTCTGAAATTTTCTTGGAGTGGATTATATATGTACTTCTATTCAGAATAATGTAGAAGCTTTCTTGAACATGATTATAAGGGGACAAAGTTTGGCGACAAATTTAGTTGAAGTGACCAAGTTTATGTCAATGATCGGACTGTGTATCAGTAGTACCGGTGAGCCTGTGGCTCTAGCTGCAATCACATTGCTTTCTGACTAATATGATCATGTATTTACATGACGCACCAAAATTACAAGAGGATTGGGATTTTTTTTTCTTTCATGCCCCACCAATGATAACCCCTATGATGACATTTTTCTGGATTGATATGAAACTATGCTTGTTGGAACATACCTACTACATGGATGAATATGTTAAGTTTTTCTTGTTTTATATCTTCATATTACTCTGACATTGAATCAACACAGTTTCTCCATTCTTATTTAACTTGTGACTGGAAGTTTATTTCTTCCTTTTATGGACACTGCAGTGCGGACAAATCTTTGATGGCTTCTTCAGGATTTCAGGCTGACGTGAGAGCTCTGCAAAAGCTCTTGTCAGCTAGGCATTCGGTGAGCATTTAAATGATTTACTTATTCTGCTTATTTCAGCTATTAAATTTTCAAGACCACATTAATATGAAGTGTGCTAAATATGGCAATTTACATATATCAAAAGTCGCAGCTTTCATTCTATTGGCTTCACAACCACAATAAAATTTACGTAAGCATGTGGAAAATTTGAAGGTTGGCCTGTTGAGTTACTTTTGCTATTTAGTTGACCAATAGTGATTTTTTTCCTTAATAGCAAGGGAAAAGTTGTTCTTTGAGGACCAAGAACAGCTAGGGAATGCCTGGGCACCTCCAAATCAAATTGGGCATCTTCGTCATAAATTTAATCCAAAAAGCACCAAAACTTCCTTCTTAGACAATTGTAACTGGGTACATGCAAATAAATTAATCCAGTAAAGTGATCAAATGGGGTGTCCACAGTCAGGGAGTGGGGGAGGGTTTTGTTGGAGATTAATGGTGGCAAATATGAGGCTGAAGATATTGATGATGATGGTGCTGATTGAAATGTATCCACCTTAATTTGCACTATTCATTGGTTTTCATACATTTTATTTGATATTTATTATAGAACTATTATGTGATGCTATGAAATGTGAATCCCATTGTGCCTGTGTTTACCATTTACACCATATTTCATGTGGTAGATGCTATTTTCAGTTATTCTGATGCATCTGTTCTGTTGTTTACATTTTCTCATATTTTTCATGGTCTTTTTAGTATTTTTAGCAGTCTTCTCGGCGTTACAGGCGCATCACCTCATAGTAGTGAGAAGTATCCCACCTCATAGAGAATAGGGTCCTTCATGATGGCTGATTCTGTGACTTTGAACCATGCCATTTTTGGTGTTCTGCTAGTATGGACTATGGACTGTGTTTAACTTGTTCACACTACCAGACAACGGATGTGCTTTAGTTTCTCGTCCAAGGAACAATATATGTAGTTTCCATCCCAGGTCTTTTGATAGCTGTCACTCTCAGGTCAGCCCGAATTTGTTGCCTGAAACTTCCTAAGTCCTTTGANACTCTATGACTCCGTGTGCTATATTGTACTGTTTTTCCTTCAAATAGGCAAAACTCAGAATTTAAGGCATAAAGGTACGAATATCATCACGAAATAGAAGTCTAGATGGGTAAAAAAAAGACTCAAGCGGCTAAAGAGAACCTATAGAAAACAAATGAAATGGAACTATCACATAATATTTCAAACATGCCCCATGTTAGAGCGATATCACAGGGTGCATTGACAAATTCGATCATTCCATAATTCTACTGGAAAACACTTTCAATCTATATCATCTTAAATTCTGTAGGCATTTTTAAGTAAATATTCAAACCTTTAATTTCTTGCAACATCCTAGTATCCTTAAAACTGTATTGTATTCAAAATCACAATCCATGTATTTCCACACGTACAGACAAACACACATGCAGGCTCACAATTACATTTAAAATTTTCCCATGTCATTACCCTTTTGAAACTAAAGAAAAAGGGTTTGTTTTTGATATCCATATGAAATGATTTTCATTTCATTTTTCAAAATTTTTGAAATTGAGCTTGGGAAATTAAAGGAAATCTCCTTGTCTTCAATGTTTTTTTTTTCTCTTTATGAAAAAAAAAAAAAACTGTGAAATATGGATCCATGAGACTATTCTAGTAACCCTCATTCATAACTAGTCAAAAAAATCATGTAGAAAATATAAAAGTGAAGTGATTTCATCTTCGAATCGATAGCCACAAGCAACGACAGAAAACCACAAATACCTATATTTATACGGGTGTGAACAAATATGTTCGTTACCTGGTAAAGGAGAATACCAAGAACAGCTATGAGGAGGAAGAAGGAGAGTAGCCATGCGAATAGATCCGCCATGGCCCTCCTTATTCCTTCTCTCTCCTCTGTTGCTCTCTCTCTCTCTCTCTCTCTCTCCTGCGCTTTTTGGGCAGTCTTTGAAGATATCGGCAATTGTGACGGAGAGTTGCTCGCGTTTTATGCGACTTTTTTCATTTTGCTTTTGACAGGTGATGGTAATAAAACTTTTTGAGCAAATATTGTAATTATGAACTTTTAATTATTTTAATTTATTTCATTAATTATGAATTTCATCTTAATTAAATTATTTTGTTAATTCCACTAGTTAGAGTAAACAGCAACACATGACGTAAAAGTTCAAATGACAAACACGTGATTTATCTTTATTTGTTCTAAAAACTAAAATTAATAAATTTATTTAATTGAAAATAATTAATAAATTCATGAATTATAAATTGAGATAATTAAAAATTTAAAGGCCATTTTAAAATAAAAGATAATGTTTAAATACTAATTGTAATAGTTAACCAGACATTTTTCTTTTTGTCAATGGCAACATAATGGTTTTTGACCCAAAAAATAATGAAAATTAACTGAAGAACCACGTTGAAAAACTTTTGATACATTAAGAATTTAATGTGAAAATTTTAATTTTTTAGAGTATAAAATAAAAAATTTTAAATTTTTTTAAAGTGCAAAGTGCAATTTTATGTTGAACTTAATTTGGGAGTTAATATGCCGAGCTAATGAATAATAATGATTTGACTTCAATTATACCCGATGGTTGATCAAAAAAATAAATCTATAAATCTGATTCATTCATTAATCCTTTCAATTCGATTTACTTGAATTAAGAAATNGATGGATGTCATTTACATGATTTCTTATCAATAATCGGGCTATGCTGACATTTCTTATAACCAAATGTTCTGACATTTCTTACAACTGCATGTTTCTTTTGAAGCCTTGCAGTTTTAAATTTTATGAATGGTCGAAGGTTCAATATTTTTGTCGCATTTTACTATCTTTCTATTGCTGTTTTGGGTGGAAAGTATTAAGATTTGTGCTATATATGAACTGGGCAGATATTTTGTGATGCTAAAAACTTAAAATATGATCATAGGCAATTTGGGTTAAAATTGTAACTCCCCATTTTAAATTATTTTTTATGCATGTAGTTTTAGGGCAATGATAATATGTAGTGGAATGGGTTCATGTGATTTTTTATTCTCCTTGAAATGCAGATTTATCAGCATCAACACAACAAGCAGATGAGCTGCCCTGCAATGGCCCAACTGCTCTCAAATACCCTGTACTACAAACGTTTTTTCCCATACTATGCTTTCAATGTTCTAGGTGGCCTTGATAATGAAGGTAAGATTAAGAGATTTTGTTGCATTTTTTAGCAGACCACCCTAATTAACATCATTTTTTTTTCAAATACTAAAGGAAAGGGTTGTGTCTTCACATATGATGCGGTTGGATCCTATGAGAGGGTTGGCTACAGTGCTCAAGGTTCTGGTGCCACACTCATCACTCCTTTTTTGGACAACCAACTGAAGTCTCCAAGCCCTCTTTTGTTACCTGCCAAGGTCTGATCTGCTCTTGACTTCAATTTTTTGTTGACATATCTGCTTCCACAGTTTATCTTTTGTGTATCATACTGAAAAACCAGCTTCACACAGGATGCTGTTACTCCTCTTTCGGAATCAGAAGCTATTGATTTGGTGAAGACTTGTTTTGTATCGGCGACAGAAAGGGATATATACACTGTAAGCTGCTGTCCTCCTCAATCTTTTCTGTTCTTCTATCAACTAAGAGTTTGAATGGTAAGCCAAAAAGTATGACCGAAGTTGAAACTTCGAAGCTCTAGATCACAAATTGTAGTGCCCAACCTTTGAAAGACTCCTGTCATTAGAGGCTCTTTGGTTTACTCATCATAATTCAACTTGTTACAGTATTTGGTGGTGTTGCTTTTCTCCAACTCATGCCCAGGCGCCTGCAACGCTCCCTATTGGTTGTGTGTTGAAACCCCCCCCCCCCCCCAAAAAAAAAAATAAATAAATAATAAAATTTGTATACCTTTCTGGCCAGATTATTGTGGCAATAGGTTGGTGTCCTCCCCCCACCCCACAAAAAAATAAAAAATAAAAAATCCTCAAGAAAACGGACAAGAAGATATCTTCATTGCTTCGAATATCCAGTCCAGTTGTCTTTCATTTTGTTAACGTGATGCATATGCTTTATAGGGAGACAAGCTTGAAATTGCCATCCTAAATGCTGATGGTATTCGTCGTGAATACATGGAGCTCCGGAAAGATTGATCTTTCTCTACCATGGTGATGTGTTGTTATTGTTGAAATAGGTTTTGGGAACTTCAGGATGCATGTAGACGGCAAATGTTGGGATGATCTTTTCCTTCTTGTCATGGTTCATCAATTATCATCTCTTTGTTTTTCAATGAATACTGTTTGGACAACCACACTCCGTACTTGATGGACATGTTACAAGTATGACTTAGGTACTGGAAATTTAACTCTATTTGTACGAGGTTTTTAGTGTTACATGAATCTTCACTTTTAAAAATTGGTACTGTGGAAAGCTGCTTTGAGAAATGTTTGCAAGTAACTCATGGCTTTGTCAACTCTCCACCTCTGGAGAAACATGAAAATTGATAGAAAAATGAGTCTCCAAAGCTTATTAACCACTATTTTTTGGATCAGATTTTTTCAGGCAATTACTAATTATGTCCTCATCTCTGCATCCATTTTCCTTCATATCATATGCTATGTATGTGTAGTGACACATGGGCTTATTTAGAGCTGAATTTTTTAGGTGAAAATTTACGATTTGAAAAATTTTGCAAAATAAATCGAAAAAAACTTTCCAAAATCATCTGGGTGTTCNTAGAGCTGAATTTTTTAGGTGAAAATTTACGATTTGAAAAATTTTGCAAAATAAATCAAAAAAAACTTCCCAAAATCATCTGGGTTCTTTTTTTTTTTTCTCTTTCTTTTTTGGTCAAGTTTTGGGACATGCTTTAAAAAGCTAGAAAAATCTGTTTTGAGTAACTTTTTAACTTGTTTAGTGGTAAAATAAAAAAATAATTAATCTATAATATAAAATAAGACAGGTTTTAATAAATCTCTAACGATCATTAACATTGTTTTCAAAATTATTTACATTACACCACACTTTCAAGCACGGGTTACCCCTAATATATAAATAAATTATACATAATAGTTTTTAAAATATGAATTTTAAATTTTTTTTACATCACTAATAATATTTTATGAATGTAATAAATTAAAAAATTATGTGAGTAAAAAAAAAAAAAAGTCATAAAATTAACTTCTTGAATCAATTTAATTAAGTCTTTTCTTGGGTGGAAGTTATGTGTGTTAGTGGGTGGAAGTTATGTGTGTTGGGTACTTTCTAATTTTCAAAACAGTGCCTTTGGACCTTTGGTTTTCAAAGCTTTCTGTAGCAATTACATTCTTTTACTATTGAATTGATATTTAGTACAGCTTTGAAATTTAAACGTAAATTTTATAAGAAATCCAATATTCATCTAAATGGATGTCAGCCGTATCTCTCCCACCTTTCAATCCGTCTCTCTTGGTTGTTTAGTCTTGGTCTTTGGGTAGAGAGCTTCAGCAAGCTTAAAAGCTATCTTCTGAAGCCCATCCTTTCTTCTCCAACTCCAACCTCAATGCCTGTTTCAAATGATCAAAAATAGTTAGTTATTGCATAATGGTTTCATAGCATTACAAGGTGGAATGTCAGCATGAACTCGCCTTAATTCTCTTTCTATTGACATCAAAATCAAAGTTCCCCGAACGAGATGCTGATCGATATTCTACAATTGGTTTCTTGTCCGGTGGGAACCAAAACTCAACATCATCCACAAACTGACAGAAAGGGAAACATTGAGGTGGAAAANATTCATTGGGTCAGGTCACGAGGATTTACCACTCATAAATGTCTTAGTTGACGTATATGATTTGATTTTAATCGAACTAGAGATAGAATTAGTAAAAATGTGCATAAGTTGGTCCAGACACCAAATCATGGGAATGGGGCCACGTAATTTCGTGATTGTTAACGTGCACAATCATTTACAAACCTCGAATTAATCAAAAACTTGAGACCAACCACAAACTTGGAACAAAAAAAAATGAATCATAATATATTGGCTTTTCTAATACATAAAATCTCTTCNTATTGACATCAAAATCAAAGTTCCCCGAACGAGATGCTGATCGATATTCTACAATTGATTTCTTGTCCGGTGGGAACCAAAACTCAACATCATCCACAAACTGACAGAAAGGGAAACATTGAGGTGGAAATATTGTTGCGTTTAAAAGGGAATTAGGTTGCAGAAACTAAAAATCGATTTAGAAAATGATTGGTATGTGCTGTATTTACCCCCAAGATAGGACTTTCGTATTCCACACGCACATAATCATCTTTCTTATCTACTATCCGGGGTATGAACTTGTCGGGTTTTGTTGATTTTATCTGCAAAATAAACACAATGAATGTTAGTTCATCTAGTGTTAGTCCATGAATTACCAGCATTATTAGCCTCCATGAAGCATCAGCATTAGTCCAGGGAATCGTCCCACCCGCATGTGCAGGTTTGCATCTTGCCCAAAAATGTTCTCTCTTGCCCTGTAATGTACTAAGTTGNGTGGAAATATTGTTGCGTTTAAAAGGGAATTAGGTTGCAGAAACTAAAAATCGATTTAGAAAATGATTGGTATGTGCTGTATTTACCCCCAAGATAGGACTTTCGTATTCCACACGCACATAATCATCTTTCTTATCTACTATCCGGGGTATGAACTTGTCGGGTTTTGTTGATTTTATCTGCAAAATAAACACAATGAATGTTAGTTCATCTAGTGTTAGTCCATGAATTACCAGCATTATTAGCCTCCATGAAGCATCAGCATTAGTCCAGGGAATCGTCCCACCCGCACGTGCAGGTTTGCATCTTGCCCAAAAATGTTCTCTCTTGCCCTGTAATGTCCTAAGTTCNTGAATTACCAGCATTATTAGCCTCCATGAAGCATCAGCATTAGTCCAGGGAATCGTCCCACCCGCACGTGCAGGTTTGCATCTTGCCCAAAAATGTTCTCTCTTGCCCTGTAATGTACTAAGTTGTCTAACAAAGAAATCAACGTGTGTAATTAGTGAAAAACTTCAATAATATCTGAACAAAGTTCCTACCACTTGAAGAAGCTCCTCCATTGCCACTTCTCTGCTTACAGGTTTTTTCCTCCCTTCAGGGCTGTAATTCCTGTCGAATAATGGCAATTACACATTTTCATTGATGTTCAACAGCCATTATCAATTAATGTTAGATGTTCATTTTTCAGGAGTTGAAAAAAGAAACAATTCTTTTAAATTGAGTTAGTAATGCACTTTTTGAACCCCAAGATAGTCAATAACCAGCAAGTGCACAATTTTCATGTGTCCATTATAAAGACCAAAAAGGTGTTCAACATGTTGGTAGCTTGGAATACCAAGTCAAACAAGATGGCCGTCCCACCCAAAACCACGTGTTCATACTATTATTTTCTTTATGTCAGAAATTCTTCTCAACCACGTTACTTTTTAATTCGTGTTATAACACAAGCTCCGGATGCATAGCATCCCCGGAAAATCAGACCAATGGGGTTTTGAACATACAAACTCAAGCAATTACACCAATTTAGACGGATGTCAATAATGATGTTATATTTCAATTATAAACAATGCACACTGATCTGTTTTATGTAAACATAGATTGATTGAGTTACACATAAGTTGATGGAGACACTCTTAGCCATAATACCCAAAGAGAGAGAGATCTTACCAAGGTGGTGCATAGTGGGTGAGGTCGCTTATATTCTCAGAAGTTGATACACAATTCTTGGTGGCAGGACACAGCGCTAGACCTGGAGGGTTCTTCTGTACACCCAAGTAATCTGGTTTTTTCCCACTGCATCACCAACAAAATTCCAACTCACTAATCGCTACATATGATTCTGAAAAATCTCACTATGAATCCATAAGAACAGCTTAGATCACCCAATACCACGAAAAGTTTCAGAATTTTTTTTTTTTTTTTTATAACAGNCCCAAGTAATCTGGTTTTTTCCCACTGCATCACCAACAAAATTCCAACTCACTAATCACTACATATGATTCTGAAAAATCTCACTATGAATCCATAAGAACAGCTTAGATCACCCAATACCACGAAAAGTTTTAGAATTTCTTATTTTTTTTTATAACAAATAATCGTCTCAATCATATGTCCATTCTATTTGGCCCACAACAAAGTAATCTTAAGTAACAAAGATAGATTAGATAACAAAAATATTAATGAAAACTATTTGATATGCTAGGAGTTCGAAGAAAAATTATATTTAAATTCAATGGTTCATTTTCAAAACATGGAAATAAAGCCTTAAGAATAGTCCACATAGTATTAGGGATAACCTGCACATGCAAGTGTTCTGATTTTAAATCTTGACAATTCATTGGGTCAGGTCACGAGGATTTACCACTCATAAATGTCTTAGTTGACGTATATGATTTGATTTTAATCGAACTAGAGATAGAATTAGTAAAAATGTGCATAAGTTGGTCCAGACACCAAATCATGGGAATGGGGCCACGTAATTTCGTGATTGTTAACGTGCACANTTTTTTTTTTTTTCTCTTTCTTTTTTGGTCAAGTTTTGGGACATGCTTTAAAAAGCTAGAAAAATCTGTTTTGAGTAACTTTTTAACTTGTTTAGTGGTAAAATAAAAAAATAATTAATCTATAATATAAAATAAGACAGGTTTTAATAAATCTCTAACGATCATTAACATTGTTTTCAAAATTATTTACATTACACCACACTTTCAAGCACGGGTTACCCCTAGTATATAAATAAATTATACATAATAGTTTTTAAAATATGAATATTAAATTTTTTTTACATCACTAATAATATTTTATGAATGTAATAAATTAAAAAATTATGTGAGTAAAAAAAAAAAAAAGTCATAAAATTAACTTCTTGAATCAATTTAATTAAGACTTTTCTTGGGTGGAAGTTATGTGTGTTAGGTACTTTCTAATTTTCAGAACAGTACCTTTGGGCCTTTGGTTTTCAAAGCTTTCTGTAGCAATTACATTCTTTTACTATTGAATTGATATTTAGTACAGCTTTGAAATTTAAACGTAAATTTTATAAGAAATCCAATATTCATCTAAATGGATGTCAGCCGTATCTCTCCCACCTTTCAATCCGTCTCTCTTGGTTGTTTAGTCTTGGTCTTTGGGTAGAGAGCTTCAGCAAGCTTAAAAGCTATCTTCTGAAGCCCATCCTTTCTTCTCCAACTCCAACCTCAATGCCTGTTTCAAATGATCAAAAATAGTTAGTTATTGCATAATGGTTTCATAGCATTACAAGGTGGAATGTCAGCATGAACTCGCCTTAATTCTCTTTCTATTGACATCAAAATCAAAGTTCCCCGAACGAGATGCTGATCGATATTCTACAATTGGTTTCTTGTCCGGTGGGAACCAAAACTCAACATCATCCACAAACTGACAGAAAGGGAAACATTGAGGTGGAAAAATTGTTGCGTTTAAAAGGGAATTAGGTTGCAGAAACTAAAAATCGATTTAGAAAATGATTGGTATGTGCTGTATTTACCCCCAAGATAGGACTTTCGTATTCCACACGCACATAATCATCTTTCTTATCTACTATCCGGGGTATGAACTTGTCGGGTTTTGTTGATTTTATCTGCAAAANATAATCGTCTCAATCATATGTCCATTCTATTTGGCCCACAACAAAGTAATCTTAAGTAACAAAGATAGATTAGATAACAAAAATATTAATGAAAACTATTTGATATGCTAGGAGTTCGAAGAAAAATTATATTTAAATTCAATGGTTCATTTTCAAAACATGGAAATAAAGCCTTAAGAATAGTCCACATAGTATTAGGGATAACCTGCACATGCAAGTGTTCTGATTTTAAATCTTGACAATTCATTGGGTCAGGTCACGAGGATTTACCACTCATAAATGTCTTAGTTGACGTATATGATTTGATTTTAATCGAACTAGAGATAGAATTAGTAAAAATGTGCATAAGTTGGTCCAGACACCAAATCATGGGAATGGGGCCACGTAATTTCGTGATTGTTAACGTGCACAATCATTTACAAACCTCGAATTAATCAAAAACTTGAGACCAACCACAAACTTGGAACAAAAAAAAAAGGAATCATAATATATTGGCTTTTCTAATACATAAAATCTCTTCATAATTTGTTCTAAAAATTTTGAAATTGAATTTCACTTTCATCCAAGTTGCTTTGGATATGTAGGGACATGGATAGCCAAATTTGCAGCCCAACACATTGGGAATTAAATCTATATTTTGAGAGTTGAGAGGATAAGGGATAGAGGAAGCAAAGGAAAAACATGCCTGAAGTTGAAGATAGCCCCAATCACTGCAAATTCGCTGCTCCTCAGTATTATTTCCCTTCATATCATCAGTGCGCGTTGATTAAGTAATTTGTGTTTGTGTGTGTGTGTGTGTATAGAGAGAGAGAGACAGAGGCTATAGTAAAAAGTTTTTGCAGAAAGAGTGGAGGGGAGGGGGTACCTGCGACTCACTTGGTCGGTGGATTTGTTGTTTTGGAGCTCTTGAGATAGAATGATGCGGGGAATGGGAGAGCCATTGTAACGTTTGTTGTAGTTCTTGCGATTGTAGTAATAGGTAATTGGTGACGCCATTGAAGCCATTGCTGGAATCTCAAGCTCTCCCTCTCTCTCTCTCTCTCTCTCTCTCTCTCTCTCTCTTTGTGTGTGCGCGCTTTTGCTTTTGGGTGTTTATAGTAGTGGATGAACGATTAGTGTGAATCTATTTGCCAACTTCATGATAAAAATGCCACTCTTCTTATACGACGTCGTCATGGTTATTTTTGTCAAATTATGGTGTCCGTTTGTTTGTTTGTTTTTTTTTTTTTGAATTTTTTTTTATCACGCGCAATTACAGAAAGAGAATCACGAGATTCGAACTCATGGCTTTAAAGTTTAACAATGGGAGCAATGCACATTAGACCGATAACTAACCTCTTTTGAAAAAATTAATAAGTTTTGTATTAAAGTCGGTAATGTTTGATAAAACTGAACATTGAAAATTTAATGCTAAATTTTAGATGTTAAATATATATTTTTTTAATTTGCACTATTTTGATATTAACTAAAATTTAAATATTAAATTAAATTAAACTGTTTGATAAATATAAAAAAGTGATTTTTGAAAATGGTAGTAGTTGTAGCGGCAAGCAATACATTGGTGGTGACACAATGATAGTGGCACCAGTGGTAGCAATAACACAATAAAAGTGGTGACATCGACGCAATGGTTATAGTGACAGCAGTGGCATAATGATGATAACGGTGACACGATAGTAATGGTGGTGGCATTGAGTGATACAATGAATGTGGCGGGGTGGTAATAATGGTGACAGTGATGATAATGGTAGTAATAATAATTGTGGTAGCAGCGATAAAAAATGGTAGTGGCAGTAGTACAATAGTGATGGTAGCGGTGGCGCAATGGTAATAGTGGCAGCAGTGACGACGGTGACACAACGGTGGTGATGGTGGATGGTAAGTATTGAAATGCATTGTTGGCATATTTGTCTATTATGTGAAATTGATAAAATCTTACTAAGTAACATTTTTAACATTAAATGATAAGTAGGTGTTTGCTATTTAAAATTTTAATTTATTTTTAATAAATGCTTAAAATATTAAGTGATATGAGTTTTAGGTTATCAAATAAGTTTAATTCGTTAAGTGGTTAAAATATTTAATTTTAAACTTTAAATGGTCTTATCAAACAGCCCATTTGTAAAAATCTAGTTATCAAAAAATACCTCTTATAAAAAAAGAGGGACCGAATTAAAGGACCCACGCCAAATTCAATGCTAATCAGACTAATCAACATTTTTATATGCTACTACAGCAGCATTTTTGTATTCCTATCATTAGTCCCCGTCATATATATCTGTTAAAGAGTATTCTTTATCAATACTGCATATGAGACTTCACTACACTTACGCTGGAATCGAAACTAGAATCTTACCGTGTGTTCTAGATATAAATAGACAGATATGTAAAATGATTATACAAATATGTCAATCCATATATATATGTCAAAGAGTATTATTCTGTCAAAGAATATTGTTTCTTAATACCACATAGGAGACTTCATTACTTACGCTGGAATCGAAACTAGAATTTTACCGTGTGTTCTAGATATAAATAGACAGATATGTAAAATGATTATACAGATATATCAATCCATATATGTATGTCAAAGAGTATTATTCTGTCAAAGAGTATTGTTTTTTAATACCACATAGGAGACTTCATTACACTTAAGTTAGGGTCAAAACTAAAATCTCACCTGTATTCTGAAAACTAAAGTAGCCCCGCCAAAAAAAAAATAAAAATTTGGGTGTTTCAATAAAAAATAGAAAAAAAAACTATGCTCGAGTTTTAAAGTTGGAAGTAGTTGGGGGATTTAAGTGAAGTTATTTATTTCCAATGACATTGATGGCCTTGGGCTTAGTACAAGTTCGGTTAGTCATTCCGTAATTTGGCTACAACTCCTGCAGTCCTGCGGGGCGGGAGATTAAACCTTTCTTCGTTGCAAAGCTTCTTCCAGAATCCTCTCTCTCTCAACCCTCTCTTTCGCTCCCCAGATGGCTCGAAATAAGGTAAGTATCAAAGTCTGATCACTGTTCATCTCTCTCTCTCTCTCTAACTCTTATTACAAATTATTTCTTTGAACAGTTATTAAGCATGGTTTGGCTTGCGGGTTGATATTCTTGTATTTCATTTCATAAGGGAAACTTTTGGAACTTTGCAGATGGTTATGCAGTGGCAATAGTTACACCCTTTTTAGGTTTTGAGGTTTTAGTGGGTAATTAGTTCTTGAACAAGTTGAGCTACAAAAATTTAGCAAATAAGCTATAGAGTTGGAGTTTTATGTGATTATTTGCTGTAATGATGTAATAAAATGTGTGTTTAAGTTGATTTGTTAATAAACTAGAATGGTGTTATACAATCCAGCCAAAAAATGAAGAAGAATGGAGCACACAAATAAGTTTGGTATATTAGTTGAATATTTGGTGTTCGGCAAAACGTTGGGACTGGGGAATTTGGTGTAGTTGAGGTTGTCTAGGATTTGGGTTAAAGCTCAGCACATGAAATTTTCAGGGANAAATAAGTTTGGTATATTAGTTGAATATTTGGTGTTCGGCAAAACGTTGGGACTGGGCAATTTGGTGTAGTTGAGGTTGTCTAGGATTTGGGTTAAAGCTCAGCACATGAAATTTTCAGGGAATGTGTTTGGTATATTTGTTGGATACCATTTGATATGACCGAGAAGTAAATAAATAGGTGAAAAGAATTGAACCGAGAAAAATAAAGATTAAGGTTGGATTCAGACAATCAATTGCTTGAGTTTCTTAGCAAAGTAAAGAAATTGTTAGGGGTAGAAATCGCGCGTTCGGATCTTATCCCTGAACACCAAGGATTCTAGCTGGTCTGCACCCTTTTCTAAGGCAATATAGTCGCCTTTACTTCTCAGTACCCGCANCAAAGTAAAGAAATTGTTAGGGGTAGAAATCGCGCGTTCGGATCTTATCCCTGAACACCAAGGATTCTAGCTGGCCTACACCCTTTCCTAAGGCAATATAGTAGCCTTTACTTCTCAGTACCCGCAGGAGCTTCGTCCCACATCGACTAAGAGTCGTCTCCCCCACCCCTTTATAAGCCTGAGCCCTTTAGGGATGGGTACCCACTAGGCACCTCATCAAGTGCTAGTGGGTACCCCCTCCATAGGAAGTATTCACTTATATGGCAGGGGGGAAGACGACTCTTTTTCGATGTGAGATTGCCGTTAGGGATAGAAATCGCGCGTTCGGATCTCATCCCTGAACACCAATGATTATGGCTGGCCTGCACCCTTTCCTAAGGCAATACAATAGCCTTTTACTTCTCAGTGCCCGTGGGATCTCATCTCTGAACACCAATGATTCTGGCTGGCCTGCACCCTTTCCTAAGGCAATACAGTAGCCTTTTACCTCTCAGAGCCCGTGTGGAGCTTCGTCCCACATCGACTGAGAGTCGTCTCCCCCACCCCCTTATAAGCCTGAGCCCTTTAGGGATGGGTACCCACTAGGCACCTCATCAAGTGCTAGTGGGTACCCCCTCCATAGGAAGTGTTCACTTATATGGCAGGGGGGAAGACGACTTTTTTCCGATGTGAGATTGCCGTTAGGGATAGAAATCGCGCGTTCGGATCTCATCCCTGAACACCAATGATTATGGCTGGCCTGCACCCTTTCCTAAGGCAATACAATAGCCTTTTACTTCTCAGTGCCCGTGGGATCTCATCTCTGAACACCAATGATTCTGGCTGGCCTGCACCCTTTCCTAAGGCAATACAGTAGCCTNGTTCACTTATATGGCAGGGGGGAAGACGACTTTTTTCCGATGTGAGATTGCCGTTAGGGATAGAAATCGCGCGTTCGGATCTCATCCCTGAACACCAATGATTATGGCTGGCCTGCACCCTTTCCTAAGGCAATACAGTAGCCTTTTACCTCTCAGAGCCCGTGTGGAGCTTCGTCCCACATCGACTGAGAGTCATCTCCCCCACCCCCTTATAAGCCTGAGCCCCTTAGGGATGGATACCCACTAGCGAGATACAGTAGCCTTTTACTTCTCAGTGCCCGTGGGATCTCATCCCTGAACACCAATGATTCTGGCTGGCCTGCACCCTTTCCTAAGGCAATACAGTAGCCTTTTACCTCTCAGAGCCCGTGTGGAGCTTCGTCCCACATCGACTGAGAGTCATCTCCCCCACCCCCTTATAAGCCTGAGCCCCTTAGGGATGGATACCCACTAGCGAGATACAGTAGCCTTTTACTTCTCAGTGCCCGTGGGATCTCATCCCTGAACACCAATGATTCTGGCTGGCCTGCACCCTTTCCTAAGGCAATACAGTAGCTTTTTACCTCTCAGTGCNTTTTACCTCTCAGAGCCCGTGTGGAGCTTCGTCCCACATCGACTGAGAGTCATCTCCCCCACCCCCTTATAAGCCTGAGCCCCTTAGGGATGGATACCCACTAGCGAGATACAGTAGCCTTTTACTTCTCAGTGCCCGTGGGATCTCATCCCTGAACACCAATGATTCTGGCTGGCCTGCACCCTTTCCTAAGGCAATACAGTAGCCTTTTACCTCTCAGTGTCCGTGTGGAGCTTCGTCCCATATCGACTGAGAGTCGTCTCCCCCACCCCCTTATAAGCCTGAGTCCCTTAGGAATGGGTATCCACTAGCGACCTGATGCCTAGTGGGTATCCATCCCTAAGGGGCTCAGGCTTATAAGGGGGTGGGGGAGACGACTCTCAGTCGATGTGGGACGAAGCTCCACACGAGCACTGAGAGGTAAAAGANTTATAAGGGGGTGGGGGAGATGACTCTCAGTCGATGTGGGACGAAGCTCCACACGGGAACTGAGAGGTAAAAGGNTCATCCCTGAACACCAATGATTATGGCTGGCCTGCACCCTTTCCTAAGGCAATACAATAGCCTTTTACTTCTCAGTGCCCGTGGGATCTCATCTCTGAACACCAATGATTCTGGCTGGCCTGCACCCTTTCCTAAGGCAATACAGTAGCCTTTTACCTCTCAGTGTCCGTGTGGAGCTTCGTCCCATATCGACTGAGAGTCGTCTCCCCCACCCCCTTATAAGCCTGAGTCCCTTAGGAATGGGTATCCACTAGCGACCTGATGCCTAGTGGGTATCCATCCCTAAGGGGCTCAGGCTTATAAGGGGGTGGGGGAGACGACTCTCAGTCGATGTGGGACGAAGCTCCACACGAGCACTGAGAGGTAAAAGACTACTGTATTGCCTTAGCAAAGGGTGCAGGCCAGCCAGAATCCTTTATGTTCAGGGATGAGATCTGAACGCGCGATTTCTGCTCCTAAGAGAAATGATGCGTGAAGCGTTATAGTATATTATGTGTAGTATTTGTAGTGAAAATGGTACCTTTGGAAATGTTAGGAAGCCATTTGTTTTGTTGCTTTGCCTTCATGAAAGTATGAGGGGCAACTGACAAAAATGTAAATCTGTATGGATTCTAATTGTGAGGTGCTCATTTGCATAACACAAGCCTCATGAAAATTGTAGTTAATTGTCTAAAGTTTTGATTCGACTCAATTTGGGTACACATGGATTAGGAACATTTACTGAAAAAGGGGAAAACGTATGAATTTGGCTTCTCATTCTTATGTGGTTTACATGTCCATCTGCTATTTACTAACACATCTGATTTAGTTCTGTTTCCACTTTCTAATTTCAACAGGAAGGGTTAATTTTGGTACTTGATGTTGGTCCATCTATGCGTAATATTTTGCCAGAGATTGAAAAAGTTTGTTCCATGCTAGTACAGAAGAAGGTATTTGTTTCATATTCCTCTGTTGGTGTACTCTTTCATTCTGTTATTCTTTCACTTTTCAGTGCATGGTGTTGTTCATTTTTATCTTTGTGCTCTCTTCAGTTGCAGTTAGCTCTTTATTCTGTTTTCTTTTCTGGACTGTAATGATCTGGAGGCTTGCTCCTTCTCTTTGTGGCTTTAAATTCCCAACACATTGGTAATTTGTGGGTGTTGTTTTAATGAGATTTGTTATAATAATATTCTCTATATGTATGCAGCTGATTTACGGGAAATATGATGAAGTAGGAGTTGTGTTATTTGGAACCCCAGGTATTCTAGGCAACACTATTTTGCTGCTATATGTACTACAAGTCTACACCTAACTTGGCTGTCCATCACTTGCAATTTTTGAGGTTACTAATTTTGGTCATCATCATGCCTGTCATGGATATGCAGCAAAGATCAAAAGTCAAATTACTATATATCTCCACTCTGGATTGGTATCTGTTGTTTTCCGTATGGCATGATTGCGAAAATAATGTCTTTTTTAGTTAATATTTTTAGAGGCATCCAACGTATGACCAATTGGCAATGAGTGCCTAGAAGGCTAATGTACAAGCTTTGAGAGGTGTTATTTTATCAATTTGGGACAAGCTACAACAAAAATTAATGTAATAATTAATCTTGTGACAGGCATCAGTATTTCCTTTCAGTAGTTTTTGGTAAGAGCACATAGTTGATTTGTTAATTTTCTGTAGTCATTTGTTTTTAGTATTTTCCATATGATTTAAAAGGTGTTGGCCTTTCATTTCTCAGTTATTAGTTTGGTGAAACATTTTTGAATAATTATCCTTGATATCTTCAGATACTAATAATGAGCTGACAACGGAAGTGGGTGGATATGAACATGTGGTTGTTTTGCGGCATATCAAAGTAGTTGATGGAGATCTTGTTGAAGCTTTACAACAGCTTCCTCAAGGAACTGTTGCTGGTGATTGTATCCAATACAACTGCTGAATTATTATGCAGATAATATGCTCTCTGTTGTGTGTGAAATTACATGTAACATATAAAAGTTTTTCATTTAATTTTGCAGATTGTCTCATATTTGTGCCTTGGGCTATTTGGAATTGGGATATCTAACACTTTAATTTTACCTTTTTAGCAATAGGTTAGGCACATTCTCCCAAAGATCCAAGCTGTTTGTAGATCTAGTAGCTTTACAAGTCAATAATGCTTTTTCTAGGGCAACAGTGTTGAATAGCATATGGTATGAGGACTAATTTTAAGAGCTGAACTCAATTTGGTTGTCTTTAGACTCTGCTTTTTTATTCCTGAATCCTTGATACCTTGACTTTGTTGGTAGTTCTTGATGCCATTGTTGTCGGGATGGATATGCTGATAAAAAAATTTGGACCAACAAACAAGGGCAAAAAACGCCTTTGTCTTATTACAAGTGCAGTTTGTCCTGTTAAAGATCCTTACGAAGGAACAAAAGAGGATCAGGTCAACACCATTGCTGCTCAGTTGACTGCACATGGCATGAAAATGGATTGTATTGTTTTTAGAGGAAAAGAAATTGGGGAACAAAATAGGAGAATAATGGAGGAGAATGATCTTTTGTTGAATATATTTTCAAAGAAGTCTTCTTCAAAGGCAGTGTATGTAGAGAGTCCAACTTCTTTATTGGGTGCACTTAGAACTCGTAATATATCTCCTGTGACAATATATAGGGGGGATCTTGAAATAAGCTCCAAAATAAAGATCAAGGTGAGTGTCCAACAAATGGTGCTTACTTTATCAAATTTATAGTTAGTTGTTATATAATATTCCAACTCAGCTTTGACAAATACGAGGAGGAAAAAATATATTGGTATATCAGTTTGGAGAAAAGATTTGCCCATCTGTGTGTTTCTCTTCATCCTATTTTAAATAATTTGGACTATTTATGAGCATTGTAATGAATGTTATCCCTGCCTTAAACAATAATAGTGAGGCATTTGGTTTTCCAATTGTTGCCCCTTCTTTTGGCAGCATATTCATGCTTTCCTGATGCTTCATTGCCAGCACATGGTCAATTGCTCTTTGCCAAAAGGGATCTGTGGTTTTAATTTGTAATGCAGCAGCACGTAAATTGTGCCCTGGCCCCTGATGCATATAATGGTGCATATATCAGCATATTCATGTATCCTGACAACTATTGAAAGTATGTTCATACATGTGCCCATATTTATTTGGAACTTGGCTGAGTTAGTGACCAGAAATGAGCTCATTTGGATCTCGTAGATCCAGTGTTTTGCCCTTCACTTATACAGGTATCTATCATCAAAACTAGTGCCCTGAGTATTAGTGGTCTTGAGGTACAGATACTGGGTAACAATGCCCTAGAAACTCATGGCACCTCACAATTATGCTTTGGTGGCATTGGTATTCTGTGTGAGTGATGACATGAATTTCCAATGGGTGTCACCTGGGTGATTTTACATGGTTGATTCTGATGGAGTTTTGTGGTTTTGTAATAGCATTCTACAACTACAGAATAAATATGGGATGAACTTATTGGTTGCTTCTATATGTATCCTAAGTAGTGGTGTTTTTAATAGTTTCATCCATTAGTTTGATCTAGTAAGAATATTTCTTGCCAAATAAGCTAGTTTCATATTCTTGTATTGGAATAAATACTTATTTTTCCAATATTTCCTTTTTATTGGTATTTATGTACCAATTGGATTATTTTTCTTGGATGGAAAATTAACCTTTGATATGTGTATTTTTCCTAATTTTAATAACTAGTAGGTTTGGGTCTATAAGAAAACATCTGAAGAGAAGTTTCCCACACTGAAAAAATATTCGGATAAAGCACCTCCTACGGATAAATTTGCGAGTCACGCAATAAAGGTGGACTATGAATACAAAAGTGTTGAAGATCCTAGTAAAGTTGTACCTCCAGAACAAAGGATTAAAGGTTACCAATATGGACCCCAAGTAGTTCCTATTTCATCTGCTGAATGGGATGCTGTGAAGTTCAAACCAGAGAAGAGCGCGAAGCTTCTAGGATTTACAGACACTTCAAACATAATGCGGTAAAACCTAACTCATTTGACCAATTTATATAATTTTGTAGTGGTCAAGGGCAACAGACCAACTAAGAACTTATCTTATTTATATGCTCAAAGACATTATTACATGAAAGATGTCAACATCTTCATTGCTGAACCGGGCAATACAAAGGCCATCCTTGCAGTTTCTGCATTAGCAAGAGCAATGAAGGATATGAACAAAGTAGCAATTATGCGCTGCATATGGAGACAAGGACAGGGGAATGTTGTTGTAGGGGTCTTGACTCCTAATATATCTGAGAAGGATAATGTAGTAAGTCTCTATGGGCTATTTCAGCACATTGTTTATGTGAAGTTTGTTTATGTTCATCTGTGTTCTGATTTGATGTTTTTGTGGATATGCGGGACAGCCTGACTCATTTTACTTCAATGTGCTTCCGTTTGCCGAGGATGTTCGAGAGTTTCAGTTTCCATCTTTCGGCAATTTTCCTTCATCATGGCAGCCTAGTGAACAACAGCAAGAGGCAGCCGATAACTTGGTAAAGATGCTTGACCTTGCACCAGCTGGAAAAGAGGAAGCTTTGCAGCCTGACTTCACACCAAATCCGGTTTTAGAGGTACTGAATTTTTTAATTCTGTCTTGTGCTACTATTTTATTACAGTTCACGTGTAGACTTGTGCAGGTAAGGTTTATATTCTTGCAAGAGCCAGTCATCCCCTGGTTTTTGTTCCTGAATGATTATTTTGGTGTATGTGTGTTTGCTTGAGTTGAGGCTTTGAGAAGACCTTTAGCGGCGTAGGAATGAAAAGGATAGCGTGAACACAAGTTGTCATTTGATGTTTAGATTGCTTCAAGATCATTCATTGTGGTTTGCTGAATGCATCACATTCAACATGCGTACATTCTTTTATGAGAACTGCCAAGGCTGTATTAACAAGAACAACAAAGGAAGTGTTTACTATGCTTGATATGTATTCGAGGGTTCCCAACAGATATTTTTTGAAATCTAAAATTGACATGCAGTTAGGGACTTAAACACAATCCTTGTTCTCCGAAATCAACAAGAAGCTATGTATGTGGATGTTTCTCATGATCTAGTCTAGTGAAGACCAATTTATTAGAAGTTTAGTGTTCATGCTACAGTTTCTGTAAAAGAAAGTATACCTATTACCTGCTTGAATTATGAAGTTGCGTGTCCTCTGAAAATTGATAAAAAAAGAGAGAAGAAAACAAAGACGAAATAATGAGAAAAATATGTGAACAGAAGCTAGAACTTGACATGTATTGTAGTGGTGATATGGGTGCAATAGATTCGCAATGGTGTGAAAAATTATGTGAAAAGACAACAGAGACGAAATAGTAAGAAAATGATGTAAACAGAAGCTAGAATATGTCATGTATTTGTAGTGGTGATATTGGTGAAATAAGGCGTGCAATGGTGTCAAACATTCATGGATTATTTCAAGCTTATAACAACCTAGGACTAGGGTCAAGCATTTGGGATTCACAGTTTGCTTCAAGCTTGTGGTAGTGTGGTGTTGACATAAAATACAAAGCTTACATGGAAAAGAATGGTCGAAAATATGACATCTTGAGTGAAGGGACTTCTTGGTTTCACCCCAAATAAAAAAGAGAGGGAAAAATAAAGAAAAAGTAAAATACAGTGTGTCTAAAAAGATTCTTGAGTGAATATTACAGCTTTGCTTGGGTGGAATACTTGCCTAGGGGTCTATTTGTGCTTTTATCTTTTCTCCATTTGGCTTGATGCTTTTTGNTAAAATACAGTGTGTCTAAAAAGATTCTTGAGTGAATATTACAGCTTTGCTTGGGTGAAATACTTGCCTAGGGGTCTATTTGTGCTTTTATCTTTTCTCCATTTGGCTTGATGCTTTTTGGGCAAACTGTAAGTCATGCATTATGTGTTTCAGCGTTTTTATCGCCATCTGGAGATGAAATCAAAGCATCCAGATGCAGCTGTGCCTCCACTTGATGAAACTCTGAAGAAAATAACGGAACCTGATCCTGAACTTCTTACTCAAACAAAGTCTGTCATTGACGAATTTCGTAGACGTTTCGAACTCAAGGAGAATCTGAAGGTCTTTTTTACTGAAAGACTTCTAATTATGATAATGTGTGCTGATATCTGTTTTTCATTGACACCCGGTTTAAACTTTATCCATCTTGCAGCTGAAGAAATCAACTAGACAAACGTTGAGAGAGAAACCATCTGGATCAAGAGAGGAAGGAGAGGATTCTGATGCCCGAGCTGTCAAGTCTATAGAATACAAATCTTCAGTTAAAGTTGAGAAGATTGGGGACTTGACTCCCGTTCAGGATTTTGAAGCAATGATCACTTGCAGAGATAGCCCAGAATGGGTTAATAGAGCAATTCAGGACATGAAGAATAAAATTTTTGACCTGGTGGAGAACTCTTTTGAAGGAGATACATATCATAAGGCAGTGGAATGTTTAGTAGCTCTACGTAAGAGTTGCATCGTAGAGCAAGTATGTCTCTTCCAGTATTCCTGCTATCTCTCCCCCCCTATATTTTTTGTAGAAGTTGATTTTTGTGGCTTATATGGTTTTATACCTATATAAAAAAATTACTAGTTATACTTTTCTGTGATTTCACTATCTTCCAATTTTGGCAATGCTTGATTCTTCCATGTTATCATTTAACTTAGATTCTCAACAAAGCCCAACTATTTGATGTTGATTACATGAATCATGTTCCAACATTAACCATGTTTGGGATTATGTTTTCTATTCAACCATAGATAATTATATCTTTTTTCGCTAATTAATCAATGTGTTCTATTTATTCAATGCATTGTTATTTTTCTTCTCTATCCTTTGTGCTATCTCCAATATGTATCACACCACTCCTACTCATTGGTACAATTGTAGGATTTCTTTGAAAACATCCAGGTCATTTTAGACATCCAGGCGATTATTCCTATTGGTGTTATGTCTAATTTTATCACACATTAACATTCTCATTTCGTCCAAACTTAGTTTGAGCACATTGTAATTTCTTAGATGCCTAATGTTTTGTACCATGATGGATGGTTAGTCTTACAAAGATATTGTAGCACTTCCTTGTTTAGCTTAAGAAATAGGAATAGATCACGTAATAGGTTAGTTGCGCACTACTCCCTTACCTTATCATCCTTTAATTGTGAGAAACAGAGGCTCTCACATGTTATCCCTTGATTCTGACCTTGTCTGTGGAAGAAATTTAAGATTTATATGACTTAATCTACTTATTTGAAGAAATGGTTGGGTTTTTAATTAAAATTGGTAGATCATGATTCATGAGTACTGTATCATTATATCCGTTTTTCCATTAAAGTCGACAAATCTAATTGAATGAGCATTCACTAATCAGTTTTACTTAAATGATGAGGAAATTTTATCTACTGGCTTAGTTTTACACGTGGAACTTGCAGAGAGATCTGACATCCCACCTCAAATGATTAGTACCATCTAAGGTTAGTTTATATGCTTAACAGGCCTCTGCAATCATTACCAATTGATTTTGAGTTAAACGTTCTAACGTGTTGTCATAGCTGAGCCGTTGGCTAGTGGATCATGTTTCTTACCCATCTATTTCTCGATGTGCATGTTAATCTGTTTATTTGTTAGCTTCACATACGAGCCCAGGTCCTAATTGAGGGAAGGTATAAAGTGAGCTTGTACCCAACGTCCGATGATTAAAACCACCCAAGATTGGTTTATATGCTCAAGGGGTCTCCACTCAGTACTAGGTATTTTTAGGTTGGATTCTCCAACAAAACTCACTCACATATTTTAATTTCAGTGTGTGAGTTCTTATTTCATTTAATGGTATTTTAAAAACAAAACATTGCATATAAGTTTGCCACGAACTTAATCCCGCTTAAATTCAAGGGAGCTAACCACATGAATATCAATGGACTATTGCCTATTGTTGGTCTGACCAGTGGGAGATTTAACAAAATATTGCTCGTAGCACTCTTAATTACTACGAATATTTTCTGAAAGCAAGAGCAGTAAAATGTGAAGTCTTGCAATTTTGTTTTTATTTGTTGCTAACAGTATATGTACAACTATGAAAATCCATATTCTTAATGTATGCAATGCTTACAGATTATACTTTTATATTACTGAAATACTGTTGAACAGTTGGAATGATGTGGTTCAGCTAAATGTAGCACTGTTTAAGGCAGTGCAAACACATTTTAGTATTTACGCATATAACCATACAGACATATCTAGGATCTTTTTCCTCCATTCTTTTCTTAGTGACTGGCAAATCTGTGAATTTGATTCAGTAAATAATAACGATTTGCATTAGTAAAATGGATAAATATACTGAGTGCTTGAATTTTGCAGGAACCTAAACAATTCAATGACTTCCTGCGCTATCTTTGTAGATTCTGCCTGGAGAAAGACCTCAAAAGTTTTCGTGAATTTCTCGCATCCAATGAGATCATGTTGATCAGCAAGACAGAAGCTGTAGACAGGTCTGTTTTTATAAAATTTCTGTTACTTATCAAAAAAAAAAGAAGCCATAGACAGGTCTGGTTTTATGGTGTGTTATCTTGTTAAAGCTTTTGTCTGTGTTGTCCTCATTTTCTGCGGTAAGTAATCATGTGTTATATTTGTTCCTTCAAACAGCGAAGTTACAGAGGATGAGGCTAGAAGCTTTATGGTTAAAACAGAGTCAAAACCCGAGCAAGGACTCTAAGTAAATGTCTTGGTGTTTTCTATGGTGTTTACTGTTTAGGCTTCTTATCGACGAGTTTTTGTCTGCATGCTAATTCATGTAAACCACATCCGTGTAGATTTGGAAGATGTTAAATGTATGACAAGAAGCATATATCTGCAGCTTTTGAAATTGTAGTGTTTGATATGCTGTTACAGCTTTCTTTGTATGTGGAAGGACTTGTAGAAATCATGGAACATATTTGGACAAACATATACATTCGATGATTTTGATGTTGCTTCTTAATATTTGATGTTATCGGTTTTTATCCCGAATGACTATAAGAATCACAAAAAAATATGCCATCTTCACCTTCACTTATAATCTGTTACAGAAAAGTGGAATCGTCGCGCAGAAGGATCCTTGACACTGGTTACAATATACCGGTTGATTTGAATTGATTTTAGTTACCCGATTAGGAACTTTAGGTGTGAACTAGATGCGACCAAGATTATTTTTTTTGCTGGTTGAAAAGAGTGGGGGCAAAAGAGAGCACCTTGAAATTATTTTGATAGGCTCTCATTAGTGGGATCATGGGACTTTTGATAGTGTTTATTACTCCTCTTGATAATAAATTTAGCTAGACGAACATAATAATTAACTATCAAGTTTCAATGTGAACTCAAAGACTGATCATAAAAACCAGTAACGTGGTTGGTTATGTCGGGTTGCTTTCATTTTGGGAAAGAGTATATTTGGAAATAGTTTCTTGTAAAGTTCAAATATCATAAGGTTAATGATTGGTTTAATGGTCGTCACACCACTGTTAAATCTTATGTTCTGTTTGGTACGATGAAAAATAAAAGGATAAAAAATTAGAGAAATATATAAAATATTATGTTTAATAAAAAAGATAAAATATTATGCCTTTTGAATTGATAGTGTTAGGATCCATTGATAATTTAATGTTGGAATTCACTGACAATCTAATGACTACAATCATTAAGTTTCCAAAATATGTCCCAATAGTATTGTTCNAAAAAATTAGAGAAATATATAAAATATTATGTTTAATAAAAAAGATAAAATATTATGCCTTTTGAATTGATAGTGTTAGGATCCAGTGATAATTTAATGTTGGAATTCACTGACAATCTAATGACTACAATCATTAAGTTTCCAAAATATGTCCCTAATAGTATTGTTTAAAATTAATTATTTATGTTGACATGTATTTTATCTATATAATAAAGTAGAACAAAGTTTGAATCCAAAAGACAAAAAGAGGTCCAGATCGTTTTGAGATAAAACATAAGCACATCTAACAGACAACGTAATCTCAACATAAAAGACGANAGTATTGTTTAAAATTAATTATTTATGTTGACATGTATTTTATCTATATAATAAAGTAGAACAAAGTTTGAATCCAAAAGACAAAAAGAGGTCCAGATCGTTTTGAGATAAAACATAAGCATATTTAACAGACAACGTAATCTCAACATAAAAGACGATTCAGATCGATTCAGTATTATTGATCCGACGATCCTAATTAATCTACATTCCAACAAGACACTACTACATTACTTTTATCTCTCCTCATCCCCATTCAAAACATTGAAGAGATTGAGTAAGACTCTACATTTTTTTTATTTCTCATCATCTCAATTTAAACTATTGGAGAGTTTGATNACTACATTACTTTTATCTCTCCTCATCCCCATTCAAAACATTGAAGAGATTGAGTAAGACTCTACAACATTTTTTTTATTTCTCATCATCTCAATTTAAACTATTGGAGAGTTTGACTTAGACAGTCATATATCTATATATATTTATCTACACTAACAAGATAGAGGCAATTACAAATTTTCAAAATTAAAATTAATACTCTCAATTTAAAAAAAGAGAAGAACAACTAAGATTTAATTAAAATTTAAATATACGGTTTAGATATTATCAAAATACATCTAATCTAATCCCACCCAAAAATTAAAACCCACTAGACAAAACCTCAAAAAAGTCAATCGGTCTCCTCCCCTCTCTCTCTCTCCCTTGCGACAGACGCTCTCGCCAAAAACCCCCACACACAACGATAGTCTCTCTCGCTCTCCTGTATGACAGTCTGGCTCACCTCTCCACCGACGACAACCATTCACTCAGGTAACCCCCCCTCTCTCTCTCACGGCACACACACATTCGAACCCCCCTCCCACGCACACATTCAAACCTATACACACACAGAGAGAGTTACTTCTACACACACAGTTAATCTTTATGCTTCCTCTCGCTTTTGTAAATTCTCTCTGCCGCTCCTTGATGTAATAGTACCTATGGACGAGATCCAAGGTTCAACCAGCCTCCCTCCATAGGGATTCAATTCAAACATGGACATAGGGATTCCTAAATGTGTTATTAGACTGCATTTTTCTCTTTGAAAGAGAGAAAAATGAAAGTCGTGTGTTTTTATTTATTTTTCTTTCAACTTACATGTTTTTTATCGAGTAATATGTTATTTTTTTTAACGAGTTGAAGTTTTAGTAATTGAGTTTATATTTATGTTGTGTTATTGAGTTGAATGGTGATAGTGGTNAAAGAGAAGAACAACTAAGATTTAATTAAAATTTAAATATACGGTTTAGATATTATCAAAATACATCTAATCTAATCCCACCCAAAAATTAAAACCCACTAGACAAAACCTCAAAAAAGTCAATCGGTCTCCTCCCCTCTCTCTCTCTCCCTTGCGACAGACGCTCTCGCCAAAAACCCCCACACACAACGATAGTCTCTCTCGCTCTCCTGTATGACAGTCTGGCTCACCTCTCCACCGACGACAACCATTCACTCAGGTAACCCCCCCTCTCTCTCTCACGGCACACACACATTCGAACCCCCCTCCCACGCACACATTCAAACCTATACACACACAGAGAGAGTTACTTCTACACACACAGTTAATCTTTATGCTTCCTCTCGCTTTTGTAAATTCTCTCTGCCGCTCCTTGATGTAATAGTACCTATGGACGAGATCCAAGGTTCAACCAGCCTCCCTCCATAGGGATTCAATTCAAACATGGACATAAGGATTCCTAAATGTGTTATTAGACTGCATTTTTCTCTTTGAAAGAGAGAAAAATGAAAGTCGTGTGTTTTTATTTATTTTTCTTTCAACTTACATGTTTTTTATCGAGTAATATGTTATTTTTTTTAACGAGTTGAAATTTTAGTAATTGAGTTTATATTTATGTTGTGTTATTGAGTTGAATGGTGATAGTGGGGATAAATTACATGTGATATTATTTTGAGGTATTTGTATATGTAGTGTTATTTTGATAATTTTTTTATACATTTTATGATAGTTCCATTAATATAAAAAATTTATCTTTTACTTTCCATTCATCCTACCAAATTAAACATAAAATTATGAATTTGAACCTTGTCATTCCCTCCTAGTACCTACTTGACAAAAAAAAGTCACGAATCATAAACATTCCCCCCTCCCCCCCCCCAAAAAAAAAAAAAAAAATCTCTTTGCACACAGGACCTTTATTTGCTGGCGGGAGGGAAGGTGCCTTTCAAAAAAAGTCACAAATCACCCCCCACCACCTCCTTTCCCTTTGCACACAGGATCTTTTTTTGCTGGCGGGAGGTAAGGTGCCTTTCAAGACCCAACAGTGGCAAAAACCACCTGCACTAGATTACCTTTTTTTTTGAAGTTTTCATCAGGTAACAGTTTGTGAAAGTTCAAAATTAACGTTCGCATGCCTCGTTCTATAATTTTATAAACCCGGGAGCAGTATCAGAAAATAGATCTCCTGTTTTGTTGCACTGTCATACTCTTGAGGCAAAATCTTGCTCAAAATACACTTTACACGCAGTATTACAGTACACTAAGAAACAACAGTCATCCTTCAAGTATAAAACCAAAAAGCTGACAACCCTTAACTTCATCAAGAGCTGCAATGTGGTTGTAAGCCAACATCAAAATTGACCACTACTCGGACCTTACCCCACTTTAGAATTCCGTCAGTTTTCATAGATGCAAGGAAGATCTCAAAACTTATGGGAATCATGGAACAAAAAACAAGGGACACAAAAATAGACAGAACTGCATTTTGAACTAAAGCCAAATTATCGATGAACACCAGTCAATTGAACATCATATACCAGCCATGAGTTTGGTGGTATATTCTCACCACCGCCTTGACTCCCGTAACTGCATCACAAAAGCAATAGAAAACGTTAATGAGGGAGGGGGGACCCAAACTAAAAAGAAGAAACATGGAGGACTAATGGTTTCTAAAGATTTCTTATTGAAAAGATTCAATCATGTACCCCATTGATGGTGGGATCGTGAGTCTTCTCTTATCACCAACTCGCATACCTGAGAGTCATTGTACGGGGTTATATTTACAGCTAATATGTGTGAACAAGATAATGCTCCAAACGAAAAGGAAAAAAAAAAAAACTACAAGGTATGATAAATCAGTCTTAGTTCTCAGGGTAAACTACCATCAAGACCGACATTCCACCCCTCTATAATTTCATTGTCACCTGTAAATAAAGTAAATATGTACAGGAAAGAGGTTAGTAAAAAAAACTTGCAAATATACATGATGTTTTTTTGGTTTGGTAGCATACCTAGGCGAAACTTATAAGGGGATTTGTCTATGTTTGAGTCAAATATTTGTCCATTCTCCTTTAACTTGCCGGTGTAATAAACCTTGACCTGAAACCAAACAAAGAATAAGCCTACACTCTGTATGGGATGTAAAATTGGCTTGAGACGAGTCTCTACTCATAATAGTTCAATAATTATCTAAATCAATTAACCTAAAACTTGCCTTTCTCCCTGGNAAACAAAGAATAAGCCTACACTCTGTATGGGATGTAAAATTGGCTTGAGACGAGTCTATCTACTCATAATAGTTCAATAATTATCTAAATCAATTAACCTAAAACTTGCCTTTCTCCCTGGAGCAGCTATTTTTCCATCAGGTTTACCCGTTTCCAGTTCTTCAATAATCAATCCATTTGACAAGGTCCTCACTTGATATGATGTGGCATCCACACTATTGTCCTCAATAACAGATCTGTTCTCTTCTTCCTTTTGCAAAAAAGGTACCTCCGTGTCCATGTATCCCTCATTCTCCTTGGTTTTACCCTTCTTTTTCTTCCTTTTTGTTTTTTTCTTCTCTTCAGACTGATACATATCACCAAATTCGACAGAATGAACATCATTACTCCTGCAAATACAAGAATNTTTTGCAAAAAAGGTACCTCCGTGTCCATGTATCCCTCATTCTCCTTGGTTTTACCCTTCTTTTTCTTCCTTTTTGTTTTTTTCTTCTCATCAGACTGATACATATCACCAAATTCGACAGAATGAACATCATTACTCCTGCAAATACAAGAATAAATTTCTTACAAATTTCAGCACATACAATATAAAACTAAATAGAGTCAGACGACAATTGTCATAGGAGGCTATTCCAAGGGAGGAGGGGGGGTGGACATGGCATTGGAAAGTCTAAATGGACAAAAATGTAGATTAGCTTAATGCAACATCCTTACAAGAGATGAGGAATAATGACATTGTAAAAGGGAACATGCGCAGCATCATTCTAAGAGATGGTTTTCATTCCAAATACAATCTTCTTCTAGAGAGAAGTTTCTTTGTGCTGGGAGTTGGTGGATTTTGGGATTGGGGTTTGTTGTTTGTTATTTTTTTTAATTTTTTTTGGGAGGGGGGGTGATTCAGAAAAACATGACTAGAAAAACAAAATTGAATGAAGTAGAAAATACTCACTTATCACTGGTTGGTTTCTGATCTTGTTCAATTATCACAGGCAGACCCTTCTCCATGCCAGCTTTTACTTGACCTTGCTTGGATTGGTTCTCTTCCAGGACCTTACTGCTGTTTGCAACATTACAATCAACAGATTTACCATCCACACCCCTTTCTTTCCTTCTTCTCTTAGATTGTGGACTATTTTTAGAGCCCATTTCACCAGAAGACAACAAGGAATTACATGAAAAATCAAATTCCCTGCTTGACCATTTCATATCAGATGGGCACAAACAAGGATCAAGAAGAAGAAATTATCAAAAAAATCAAATTATACATTGTGAAGTATGCATCCTTAGATTGATTAGCAATCTGAAAGAACATAAAAATCTTACATATTAGTGGTTGGCTTTTGGTCATTTCTCACAAGATTATCTTGGCCTTTGTTATCAGCCTTGGCATCAGCTTGCTGGCCTCTTTCCCCTTTAAGGGGATTGCTATTGTTGCCAGTATCAGTTTCAAGAGCTTTCACCTCATCAGTCCGTGCTTTCCTCTTCTTCTTTGACTTCGTGACATATCCAGGGCCCACTTTGCTAAAAGACAGCAGGGAAGTACATGGCAGGTAAGAATAAGATATCCTCAAGCATACATTATATCTAAGTGAAAACAATGAAGAGGAACAAACAAAATGTAACAAGAGTCAATGTGTCAATAAGAACCACTGCATCTGATTGTATATATGTGCATGCATGACATAGACAATAGCTTAACAGGAGATAACAGCACTCACGTATCAGTGGCTGGCTTCTGATCTTTCCCAGTACCCAAAAGCAGATCCTGGATGATGTTATTGGCCTTGGGTTCATCTAGCTGGGCTTTACCCTCTATGAGGGCATCTCTTTGATTATCAACATAATCTTCAACAGTCTTTCCCTGCTTAAAAAATTCTTTCCTTTGATTCTGTGGCTCTGTCCCATTCTCCTGGTTCACCTCATCAGAAGGGAGCAATGAATTATATGACAGGTCCACGTCCCTGCTTGGGTATACCCAAAAAGATGATCACAGTCATTAAACAGAATAACAAAAACCTCAAACTGAGTCTAACAAAACACACACAGTACATGTCCAGGCAAGCATTTTACAGGTGTCCCATATATGACACTGATTGCATACTTTCTTCTTTATGCTCTTAACAAAAAGTAATTACGCATTAAAAAGGTTCTTAACCAGTTAACGATGTTTCATTTAAAAAAATAAAAGGGTAAAATATAGTAATAGTCCCTAAAGTGTGCGTTTTGTATCATTTTGGCCCTCAATCTTTCAATTGTGTTATTTTAGTCCCTTAAGTTTTCAATTTGTGCCATTTTGGTCCAATCAAAAATGGCAGTTTAAGTTGACTAATAGAGGTATTCACATGTGTCTTACGTTAATACACTTAAAGGGTCACTTTTGTCCCTCAAGTTTGTAATGTGTGTCATTGTGGTCCTTCACGCTTACAATTTGTGTCCCTTTAGTAGCTTATGTTTCCAAAAAATGCCCCTTAAGTGTGGTCACAGACAGACATTTTCGATGGGACCAAAGTGATGCAAAATAAATAATTGAGGGACTAAATTGGCACAATTGGAAGATTGAACCAAACTGACGCAAAGCATATAAGTATGGGAAAAAAATATAAAAGCACTAATTTTATACCCCTCCCAGACTTCCATTGATGGAACTAAACTGAATGTTATGTTTAGCAGTAGATTGGTTAAGAAAATGTCTAGGTGGATTCCTGTGGAAGAAAATTAAAGCTTGCAAGTTGCAACAGGTAGTAACCCAATTAACTTACTTTTTCGGCTCACCATTTATAGCCATATCATCAGCTTTCCCCTTTGACGGATTAACACGAGTGCCAACACCGTCAGTCTTCTTGTCACCAGTCTGAGGTGTTGCCGTGTTGGCCTGTTCTACTGCTTCCACTGTTGTGTTCTTTCCAGTTGTTTTACTCTTAAATGCAGATAAAACAAGTTTGTCTTCATCTTCACTTTCGGTAAGAACCCCAGAATTGATGGCAATATTTTGTTGTCCTAAACTAGTATCGTCACTAGACTCAATTGATTGATATTTCTTCTTAAGTCGCTTATGGCTGTGTTTTCTGTCTTTTGACTTCTCCTTAGCCGGCATCCCTTCATCAACTGCAGGAATCAAGCACCAGATTTCATACAGAACAAAAACTTCAGAACAAATATTGCTTAAATCATTCAGAAATAGTGGATTGCAGATGAGCACAAGAAGATGATGATGAAATGTATAGAGAATGAGAAATGTACAATACAAACAACTTAAAAAAGCAAACTATTCAATTAGTCATGCCTCAATCAAAACTAAAAGAAAACTATATTATCTGGAAACACCAATCATTACAGTAATGTCTCTCATAGGATTTGGATCAAGTCCCAGTCACAGTTCAATAAAACAAATTTTATCATGACTTTAACAATGTACCTGAAAATTGCAGAAACATTAGGACATTAAAATGCTTAAAATGAAAAAGAATTACAACACATAGAACAAAAGAATATTTATCGCGAGCTTTGAACTTCAATTAATGAAATAGAGTTAATCATCAGGAAGAAAAAGAGCATGTGATGTGTGAAACATACCTCCACCACTTGAAACAGGTGAGGGTGGGCAAATTTCAGGATTATCATCGTCAATGAAACTGTCCTCATATTTATCTNAGAACAAAAGAATATTTATCGCGAGCTTTGAACTTCAATTAATGAAATAGAGTTAATCATCAGGAAGAAAAAGAGCATGTGATGTGTGAAACATACCTCCACCACTCGAAACAGGTGAGGGTGGGCAAATTTCAGGATTATCATCGTCAATGAAACTGTCCTCATATTTATCCTCATCGCTGTAACGAGTAGATTCCTCCGTCTCTGTGTTTGCAATGTCTTCTCCAAAGGAATCTCTTTGTCATTAAAGTTAAGGAAAGTAGAAGAGAACCACGGCTAAAATCCAACAGACTAACACAGTAACATGCAATGAAGCAGGATTTCCATGCAACATTCCTCGCAATAGAATACTCACAAATCTTGAACAAACCTATCATGGCCTTGAAATTTGGATGAAATATAAGACAACAATACACACTTTATTTGATCCTAGAGGGACAGATTGTGGCCACATGAGTCATAATCANCGCAATAGAATACTCACAAATCTTGAACAAACCTATCATGGCCTTGAAATTTGGATGCAATATAAGACAACAATACACACTTTATTTGATCCTAGAGGGACAGATTGTGGCCACATGAGTCATAATCAAGAGTTGTGACTGCCACTGCTCAGATAATTGTTGAACCTGAGAGAAACGAAATACAGGTAAAATGTGACAAAGTTTGTTAAACTAATGTCAGGATACGTATCATCATCCAGCCTCGAACGGCGATAATTACCCACATAGTAACCAGTAAGATAAACACTTCGAGGGCCAAGAACAGAAAAAACTACATCATCAGACTCTTCAAATTCCAAATCCAAATGGCACGACTCAGTCTTATCCGGCAATAGAGCGCAGAGCATAACAGGACTCTTATTCCCCACATTACACTGAATTAAACTCTTCTTTGTTGAAGAACCAATTCCTAGTGTTGCCTAAACATTCAATCAGAGTAAAAGAAATTAAACAACCCAACAAAATCACCATTCATATAATATTAAATTGCCATTAGGATTCACATGCAATGAAATATATAGTGCAGGAAAATACATATAACTTCAATTCAAGTACAAATTTGGCACCAAGTAAATCAAGTTAGAAAACTATATAGACAAATTTTCCCAAAAAAAGTACCTGGGAAATGCGGAGTCTTCCTCTCACAGAATCAAATGAATGAGTGACTGGCTTTCCGGGTTTCACTTCAATTCCTGAAAAAATAATTGACATAGAATAAGCCCTTCTTTTTCTTCTGAATACAAATGCAAAGGAAAACACACACACGCTCGGGAATTTAGAAGGGTAACACACACATGGCCTTCCAAGTCTATACCCACCAGAGACTTCAACAGGGACTGAATGTAGACGAGTGTAATAACAAATCACAAAAATAAAAGAAAACTAAATGCAAACAATATATATATAGAGAGAGAGGGAGAGAGAACCCCAGAAAGCCATTGCTGAAGTGGATTCGTGTTTTGGGGACTGGATTAAAGTTGAACTGTTCGATCAGAGGCGAGGCAACCCCTAAACCCTAACCGGAGGAGCTTTTGAAGGTCTGTCCACGTTACTTGGTTAAACCCCAACGTATATATACAGCGTCAAGATTTGACAAAACCCCCAAATTTTATTTTATTTACATTAGTACCCATATCAAAATGCTGATGTGGTGGTCCAGCTCCCAAAGGTTGATAACTTCTTGTTAATTAGGCTTTTTTATTTCATTCTTTTTCTGATTGTTGAAATAATTATTATAAAATAATTTTTTGATACCATAATTGAATCCGAACACTAAACTACTCTTCATATTAATGGGGTTCAAGTTATGGACCAAAAAAAAGACCACGACACTTTATCATTGGGTCTGAAAAAAGATCCAATGTGTGTAATTTTATTCTCATATGTATACATAGTGATTTCACAATCAACAATGATGCACTAGTATTTGCACTTCATATGTGTAATGGAGTGTGTGAGGATCTCTACAAAAGGAAGAAGAGCAAGTTTGGTCCACTGGTAAAATGTGCATAACATCGCTAATAAAATTGATCCTAAAATATTTAATCTTAATAATTTATTTTGTTATAATTTAACCTAAAAACAATTGTTAATCAATTCAAAAAAGTGATTACATATCAAAAAAATATTTTTTCACTATGGTATTCATCCCTTTCATAATGATTTGGAATAGCAATCGCAAAGAATCAAGAAAGGTGATGTTTTGTTATTCTTACAAGTTTAGTACAATAATTTTTGATTTTGTAATATTATAAAGTAGGTATTTCTTTAAAATAATAAAATAGGAACCCAATTACGACATGACATCATTGACTAATTAGGAACCCAACTATCTGTCATTTCTTAGCCAGACCCCATCTCATGCTGACTAAATCCCATGATGTTGATGGACATTTTATCTCTATTTCTACCTTTCTTGGCTTTTAGCCAAAATGAAGTACTATCTCTTTCATTGAACCCAATTCCAAATATGTGATTTAACCTTAGAGATTGCTTAGCTTATACTCGTAGAATGATAAGTGTCTCTAATAGATATACTAAACTATGATATAAAAAAATTACATAGAATAGAGTTTTAAGTGTGGGCAGGCTCAGGATAAATTTCTTGCGTGGGCGTTATAACGAACTTTAATTTTCATACTTCCAACCTTAGGAACCTTTTCCCTGTAAACTTTGAAATAATTTTTTATAATTTTTAATCTTTTTATATTTTCTATATTTTACTAATTTTTAGCTATATATTCTATAATTTTTGAACCAAAAGAGACTTCAACAAATCATAATAATATTTTAAAGAATCAATTTTAGTTTGCGAATTTTAAGAGATTTGGTATAAACTTTTTGTTTTTTGTTCTAGTACCCAACTTATTTGATCCAATTAATTTTGTTTTTCATAAATCATTACAATGGACCCAACTAATCTAAAAAAATATATAAAACAAATATAATTAAATATTTTTTTTTTCAAGGTGGCCACAAACCCCTCCTTCTTCGGCCACTGCCAGAGAAAGAGAGTGAAGAGTGAGAAGAGAAAGGTAAAATTTAATATAAATAGTATTGAGAGAGATGTTGGTAACTGTTGGATAAGTTTATTTGAGACCGTCGGATGAACTTATTGAACCCACCCTATTTTATATTATAGAATCCACAAAATATAATAAAATTGACTTAAAAAAATATTAATTTATATACATGTAATCAAAATCGAATATTAATTTATTTATATATAATCAAAATTGAGTCAAATTTAATACAAACTAAAAATCTAATTTATCAAAAAGCATATCGTCAAAATATTTTCTATTAAAAAAAGATCTACAAATATTATTTATAAAATATTATTTTTTTATTTAGTACAAGTTATTAGAAAATTATTAATTTGTAAAAATATATTAGCGTTGGGTTTTCTTAAGAAATAAAAAAAATAGTCTTGAACTTTTGATTTAAGACATGTGTAAGACATATTAGTTTGAGATAGTTAATTAAATAAATAAAATTAAAATTAATTATATTCAATATTAATGTGTTAAGCAGCGCCCTTGTTTTTTTTTTAATCTATTAAATTGATGAGTTTTTTTAATTAAAATATTATCATTATCTCTTATACAAATTTAAAATGTTATACTACACGGTTGATATTAATGATAAATTTGAACCATTTAATTATTATGTTAGAGAAAATCTTGTGATCCAAGTCTGTTTGGGAGGGAATATATTAAAGAAAAAATGTTAATTTTTTGACCGTTAGATGAATAAATTTGAGACCATTATATGTATTCCAAAATCAGTTGTAATTGAACCAAAAAAAAAATTGAACCTGCACTTATTAATTGAACCAAAAAAATTGCCTTCCTTTGCTTCACATGGGCAAAGTCAAAGCATATGTATGTACACACTCAAATCCACTTTTATAATAAGCGAAGTAAAATAACAATCACATACCACCACAATTAACATAACCCAACCCCCCCCTCCCAAAAAAAAAAAAATTCATGCACGACATCGATATAAAAAGAATAATGCTATTGAAAATTAATCTACTAATCTGATTTGTTAACTTAATCCGCTACAACTAGTGGATTGACAATAGAGCCATTTGACATTGAAATTTGCTGCTAGATCTACAGCTACAATGAATTAGGTTAATAATTAGCTATTTTCTTGAGAAATAACCCGATTGTCTGTTTCATTACTCTAAATAAATTTTCATGTGATTTATATCTTCCAATAATATTTTAAAATTTGATCCAGATTGATTGGCCAAAAAATTATAATTCTAAAGGTTGAAATCCTTTTCTAAAAAAAGTCCAGATCCACATGAAAAATAAAAGTTGGATTAAAAAAAAATGAAAAATAAAATCCTAGCAAAAAAAATATGAAATATAAAATGAATTTATATAGCTAGAAAAAGAGGTTGCAAGCCCTTGTTATTCGCTTTACCATCCTTTGTTTAAGAACACAAACAACCAGTCTCCCTCTCTCTCTCTCCTCCTTCCACAACTGTCATCTACCCTCGTAATCCCTTTACCTGCATATTCCTCTTCATCTTCTTCCTCTTTCTCTCTCTATATCTACATAAAAGATATATGTAGAGAGAGAGAGACATTCATACATATCCACACGAGATATACCCATATCCATTTTCTTGTTGGGTAAGGTTCAAGAACCTCCAACATTCAACAATGTTGCCTTACGAAACCATTCAAGAAGCTGGGATATCTCTCGGAAGAAACCTAACTTTTGCAGAGACAGTATGGTTCACATACTCAGCTCGAAAGTCCGATTACATCCTCTACTGTCACAATACTTTGTTCTTGTTCTTATTCTATTCTTTGATCCCTTTACCTTACATGTTCATCGAGCTTATACGGTCCAAGAACACAGAGAAATTCAAGATCCAACCCAAATTCAAGAACTCATTCTCAGACATGTTTAAATGCTACAGAAAAGTCATGGTCACGTTTGTTTTTGTTGTTGGGCCTCTGCAACTCTTCTCCTTCCCCATCATTGAGGTATGTATGCATATTTATGGTTAGGGTTTGTGATCCGAACATAGTATAAAAACAGCCCGTTATGGCGCGTAACGGCCGTTATAGAACGGTAATGGAGGCTTCTAATCCCTTATAATTAGATTTAACACCAGAATTTTTTTTCACATAGGTAAAGATTGTTATGTTAAGCGATTGTTATTACAGCGTAACGGGTTGTAACAGGCCTTACACCATCGCAATGGATCCATTACGTTTGCAACAAGAAATAACAAAGAAGATTGAGAAGAAGAGAAATGGTGTTCATTCAAATCTACTTTAAAGGAGACAAAGAAGGAGAGATTAAGAGAAAGATTGGTGTAGAATCTTTAGATCTATTAGAAAACATGTCTGAATAATCAAAAAAATTTTCACCTATTTGTAGTACTTCTTCAAGAGGCTGTCAAATAGTTGAAGAAAAGTGGGGGAGGGATTTTAGTTTAATAGATATGGTCGCCAATTCCAAAGATATTTCAAGTGGTATCAGGGACAAATTATAAATTCAGATGTCTTGAGTTTGAATTTTGACAATATTTTCAGACTAAGTCATGAGTAGGGATGATAGTGGCCTGGGGTGGGGGTAGGATGTGGGAATAGTCTTCACCCCGTACCCGTTTCAAAAATATTCGTTTACCAAGGAAATTTTAATCTCGTCCTTGCCCCGCGGGTAAATTTTAATCCCCATTCCTGTCCGTAACAATTAATTTCTATGACTTTAATAACTTTTTTATAAAAAACCAATAAAACCTCACAAATAGATTTTTAAGAAAGATAAAAACTTATTATATAACAAATGAATCAAACATAAAAACTCACAAAAATAACATTCGCCTCTATCCCGTCATATGAGTATTTTTGTATACATTCATCGTTCAATACGTATGATTTATTTTCGGTCCAAACATAGCGGGTTTGGACAAATGCCCATTTTTTCTCGGTCCATGTTCATCCCTAGCATAAGGAATTTATCCCTTATGAATACTCTAATTTCGGCGTGGATGGTCTGCATTTGACCGAACCGAGAAAGAGATTAGTTGATGTGCGCTTATATTGATCCAAATATCTTTGACCCTTGAATCTTAACAAAAAGAAAAGAAAAGAAAGAAAGAACATAAATCTAGTACAAAGTGGTCGTGATTGGGTTGGTTTTACATCTTATATGTCACTGTTATTAATGTTCTTTGTTAAAGATTAATTAAATATTAAAATTTCATATATTTATTTTTACATTTTAGAGGTCACAATTATTTTTATAAAAATTGAAAGACTATTGTCACTGAAATAGAACAATAAGAATAATATATATAAGCTAAGCATTTTTTCATTTTATATGCATTTTCGTATTTTGTTTAACTTGGGTTCAGTAATCTTTCTACAGTCTTGACATAAATGAAAGTGAATAAAATTTAATAGTTTGGAAAAATAAAAATAAAGTTAGAAGCAAATTATATTAGAATGAGAAGTTTCATAGCTGATGGAGCACATGTTTGAAAACTCTCTTGGGAATTGACATGTATATGAACTAATTAATTAACTAATTTAGCATTTCAAAGCTGTGGTTAACATAAATAATGTATGCTTCTTTGATTTTCGACCTAATAAATTTATTTAATTTTTAAAGATTTGTGAGAATGAAAAAATTCATAATTTTTGATTAAGTCATTGGATAAGTGACTGTTTAAGCTTATTGTATTATTTCTCTTCTCTTTATTGCTGAGTCTAACTGGTCCACCCACCAACTTATCACCGAAATCCGCTAAAACTCGATAGAAACCTACTAATTCCGTATCGAATCACGTGTTCAGTCTAAAATTGACATTTTGAAAAAATTGTTTTTTTCTCTCTCTCTCTAATACACACTTCTTTCAAATATGAAACAAATTGTGCTGTCTATTGCTGCAGAGAGTTGGGATAAGAACAGGACTGCCATTGCCGTCTGGGTCAGAGATGTTTTGGCAGTTGCTGGTCTACTTTGTGGTAGAGGACTATGCAAATTACTGGCTCCATAGATTGCTACACTCTAAATGGGGCTATGAGAAGATCCATAGAGTCCATCATGAATACACAGCTCCCATTGGATTTGCGGCACCTTATGCACATTGGGCAGAGATTTTGGTTCTTGGGTTTGCTTCATTTCTTGGTCCATTGATGGTTCCTGGCCACATGATCACATTCTGGTTGTGGATGATTCTCAGGCAGTTTGAGGCCATTGAAACTCATAGTGGGTTGGTGTACTCTATCTCTCTCTCTCTCTCTCATTCATTTCTAAATTGCATTGACTTAGATCAGTCTAGGACTCTAACACCTTCCATATACCCCAAATCTGTTCATTATTTAACAAATGTGATGGTGGATAGGCTTGTTAAACAATTTGGATTATCTCGGATTTGGCTCAACTTTAACTTGGTTTAAACGATAAAATGAATTGAACTTGATCAAATTTTTAAGCACATTTTATAAATAAATTGTATGAAGCAAGGTGAGACTCAACTTGAATTGAACATTTTTTTTTGTTTGTACATTGTTATAATTTTATTTCCATACACACAAGTCACAACCTCAAATTTATTCTGAAAGTAGTTTCAAACCTTATTCACTTCTCTCCCCTCTATTCTCCAATAGATTTTTGGAAAATTAGCTACTTATACAAATTTTGGAGGATTTTGTTGTGGAACAATTATTTTAGAAATGATAACTAAATTTTAGGGTTTCTTGAAAAATTCAACAATGGCGACCTTCAATAACAAACTAAACTTGACAAATGAGCTCAATTCAGTTATAATCTAGCCAAATTTGAGCACACTTAAGTTTGGCAAGCTTAGCTCTGAGTCACACTCTTGCATGAAAATTACTGCCACAATAGCTCTTCCCTGTCTATTCCAATCTACCACTAAAAAAGTTTTTTTTTACAGAAATATATAATGAAAATGTTGGTTTGATCAATTTCTGCAAATTTGTGGTTTTGTGATTATGCAGATATGACTTCCCTTGGAGTCCTGCAAAATACATTCCTTTCTATGGTGGCTCAATATACCATGATTATCACCACTATGTTGGAGGAAAGAGTCAGAGCAACTTTGCCTCAGTTTTCACTTACTGTGATTATATCTATGGAACCAATAAGGTTAGTCTATAATGAATATTGGTCATGTTTTGGATTTGTGGGCTGAAAAAAAAAAGAAGACGAAGTATAAATCTTGAGTTTGAGTTTTTGTGGTTGTATAAAACTCAAATTTTACTGATGTACGTGGTTTGCGGGTGATTGCATCTATACGATATTTGTGTGACAATCAAGAGTCCAGAGAACTCTTGATTGAGAAGATTCTTTCGTAACCCGAGAAAAAAAAATTGTTGTTGGCAATTTATGTCGTAGTTGTCTTCAAATTTATCAAAGTCTCCTGTGTGTGTATTAATGTGTTGCTGGCTTGTTTGTTTCTCCAGGGATACCGCTACCAGAAGGAAGTATTTGATAAGGTACTCCTGAACCACCCTTTAAATTGGTTTTTGGGATTATGAATATGGTGAAAACCGATTGGTTTTTAAGTTATTTTTCACTATAATTATGGTGGGAGTTTAACGTGAGAAGCTCATTTCTAATGGTTGCAAATGAATCGAATCGAGTTGAGCATCAAACTATTTACGTTTGGTTTGTTCCTTCATGAAAAGTGTGGGGATCGATTCAGAATTATGATAAACTGTACACATTTTATTCAAACTCATCCCATTAATTTCAATCCAAATTAGTATTGGCTCAACTCGACTAAGCTTAATTGTCTAATTAGTCGAAAAAAGCCTTGAGTTTTTTAGTTCAGACTTGTGTTCAAAATCGAAATAGTTCAGCCTCGTGTTCAAAATCGAACTTGACTTGTCCACACAATATAAGTTCATGAGTCTAACGAGCTTTAGATTTGAGCTCAATTCATTTGATAAATGAATGAACTTGAATGGTATTGTTATCCAAGTCAACCCCAAACTGTTTATTTGCATCTTGATTTTTTTGCNCTAGGACTCTAACACCTTCCATATACCCCAAATCTGTTCATTATTTAACAAATGTGACGGTGGATAGGCTTGTTAAACAATTTGGATTATCTCGGATTTGGCTCAACTTTACNCTAGGACTCTAACACCTTCCATATACCCCAAATCTGTTCATTATTTAACAAATGTGATGGTGGATAGGCTTGTTAAACAATTTGGATTATCTCGGATTTGGCTCAACTTTAACTTGGTTTAAACGATAAAANGACCCAAAGAAACCCTAATTCTAATCGAGGTTGGCACTTGGCAATGCACTTTCTCGTTTGGATTCAAAACTAAATCTCAGGGTCTCTTTTAATCTCTTATCACTCTCTATTTTCTTCGAACTTGATCAGACAAGAGAGAAATTCAGAAGTGAAGGTGGACAAAATGCAGAAAGTTACCTATTCTCCATGCAAGCTCTCAAATCTGAGTAGTTACAAACATTGAAAGCCTCATTGATCAAAGCATTGGCCATGATGTATGTTTCTCTACATATATAGTTCAGATCTCTTAATCATTTTNACCTTGGTTTAAACGATAAAATGAATTGAACTTGATCAAATTTTTAAGCACATTTTATAAATAAATTGTATGAAGCAAGGTGAGACTCAACTTGAATTGAACATTTTTTTTTGTTTGTACATTGTTATAATTTTATTTCCATACACACAAGTCACAACCTCAAATTTATTCTGAAAGTAGTTTCAAACCTTATTCACTTCTCTCCCCTCTATTCTCCAATAGATTTTTGGAAAATTAGCTACTTATACAAATTTTGGAGGATTTTGTTGTGGAACAATTATTTTAGAAATGATAACTAAATTTTAGGGTTTCTTGAAAAATTCAACAATGGCGACCTTCAGTAACAAACTAAACTTGACAAATGAGCTCAATTCAGTTATAATCTAGCCAAATTTGAGCACACTTAAGTTTGGCAAGCTTAGCTCTGAGTCACACTCTTGCATGAAAATTACTGCCACAATAGCTCTTCCCTGTCTATTCCAATCTACCACTAAAAAAGTTTTTTTTTACAGAAATATATAATGAAAATGTTGGTTTGATCAATTTCTGCAAATTTGTGGTTTTGTGATTATGCAGATATGACTTCCCTTGGAGTCCTGCAAAATACATTCCTTTCTATGGTGGCTCAATATACCATGATTATCACCACTATGTTGGAGGAAAGAGTCAGAGCAACTTTGCCTCAGTTTTCACTTACTGTGATTATATCTATGGAACCAATAAGGTTAGTCTATAATGAATATTGGTCATGTTTTGGATTTGTGGGCTGAAAAAAAAAAGAAGACGAAGTATAAATCTTGAGTTTGAGTTTTTGTGGTTGTATAAAACTCAAATTTTACTGATGTACGTGGTTTGCGGGTGATTGCATCTATACGATATTTGTGTGACAATCAAGAGTCCAGAGAACTCTTGATTGAGAAGATTCTTTCGTAACCCGAGAAAAAAAAATTGTTGTTGGCAATTTATGTCGTAGTTGTCTTCAAATTTATCAAAGTCTCCTGTGTGTGTATTAATGTGTTGCTGGCTTGTTTGTTTCTCCAGGGATACCGCTACCAGAAGGAAGTATTTGATAAGGTACTCCTGAACCACCCTTTAAATTGGTTTTTGGGATTATGAATATGGTGAAAACCGATTGGTTTTTAAGTTATTTTTCACTATAATTATGGTGGGAGTTTAACGTGAGAAGCTCATTTCTAATGGTTGCAAATGAATCGAATCGAGTTGAGCATCAAACTATTTACGTTTGGTTTGTTCCTTCATGAAAAGTGTGGGGATCGATTCAGAATCATGATAAACTGTACACATTTTATTCAAACTCATCCCATTAATTTCAATCCAAATTAGTATTGGCTCAACTCGACTAAGCTTAATTGTCTAATTAGTCGAAAAAAGCCTTGAGTTTTTTAGTTCAGACTTGTGTTCAAAATCGAAATAGTTCAGCCTCGTGTTCAAAATCGAACTTGACTTGTCCACACAATATAAGTTCATGAGTCTAACGAGCTTTAGATTTGAGCTCAATTCATTTGATAAATGAATGAACTTGAATGGTATTGTTATCCAAGTCAACCCCAAACTGTTTATTTGCATCTTGATTTTTTTGCGACCCAAAGAAACCCTAATTCTAATCGAGGTTGGCACTTGGCAATGCACTTTCTCGTTTGGATTCAAAACTAAATCTCAGGGTCTCTTTTAATCTCTTATCACTCTCTATTTTCTTCGAACTTGATCAGACAAGAGAGAAATTCAGAAGTGAAGGTGGACAAAATGCAGAAAGTTACCTATTCTCCATGCAAGCTCTCAAATCTGAGTAGTTACAAACATTGAAAGCCTCATTGATCAAAGCATTGGCCATGATGTATGTTTCTCTACATATATAGTTCAGATCTCTTAATCATTTTTTGATGTAAAACTTTGTTTTCTCAAGCAACTGTATTGATTTGTGCTCTCTATCAAAGCACACACACCTTGGGAATCTTGGTTTACATGTATTGATTTCATACACATAGTTATACACGGTATGACAAGGTGAACAAAGAGCCCGTCTAGCTCAGTTGGTAGAGCGCAAGGCTCTTAACCTTGTGGTCGTGGGTTCGAGCCCCACGGTGGGCGCTTTTATTTTTGCTTCACGTACCTTCGTCCTAACTTGTTCTGTGTTAAATTACACACACACCCCTTCATTTTCGTAAAAATATTTTTTAGCGAATCAGGTTTATACCGTNCTGTGATTATATCTATGGAACCAATAAGGTTAGTCTATAATGAATATTGGTCATGTTTTGGATTTGTGGGCTGAAAAAAAAAAGAAGACGAAGTATAAATCTTGAGTTTGAGTTTTTGTGANAGGTTAGTCTATAATGAATATTGGTCATGTTTTGGATTTGTGGGCTGAAAAAAAAAAAGAAGGCGAAGTATAAATCTTGAGTTTGAGTTTATGTGGNGTTTGTCATAGCTACCGCGGTGTGGTTTGCACACTCCTAGAAACTGCTGTGAGAAGAAGATGCTTCCTCTTTTATGCACAAGTTTTAGTTCCAACTAGGAGTGATAATCGACTATGCTCAGGCTCTACTTTTAACTTGGGGTGATAATCGACTATGCTCAGGCTTAGGCTTGAGCTCGATAACCAAGTTTTATGTCAAGTTCAAATTCNGGTTGTATAAAACTCAAATTTTACTGATGTACGTGGTTTGCGGGTGATTGCATCTATACGATATTTGTGTGACAATCAAGAGTCCAGAGAACTCTTGATTGAGAAGATTCTTTCGTAACCCGAGAAAAAAAAATTGTTGTTGGCAATTTATGTCGTAGTTGTCTTCAAATTTATCAAAGTCTCCTGTGTGTGTATTAATGTGTTGCTGGCTTGTTTGTTTCTCCAGGGATACCGCTACCAGAAGGAAGTATTTGATAAGGTACTCCTGAACCACCCTTTAAATTGGTTTTTGGGATTATGAATATGGTGAAAACCGATTGGTTTTTAAGTTATTTTTCACTATAATTATGGTGGGAGTTTAACGTGAGAAGCTCATTTCTAATGGTTGCAAATGAATCGAATCGAGTTGAGCATCAAACTATTTACGTTTGGTTTGTTCCTTCATGAAAAGTGTGGGGATCGATTCAGAATCATGATAAACTGTACACATTTTATTCAAACTCATCCCATTAATTTCAATCCAAATTAGTATTGGCTCAACTCGACTAAGCTTAATTGTCTAATTAGTCGAAAAAAGCCTTGAGTTTTTTAGTTCAGACTTGTGTTCAAAATCGAAATAGTTCAGCCTCGTGTTCAAAATCGAACTTGACTTGTCCACACAATATAAGTTCATGAGTCTAACGAGCTTTAGATTTGAGCTCAATTCATTTGATAAATGAATGAACTTGAATGGTATTGTTATCCAAGTCAACCCCAAACTGTTTATTTGCATCTTGATTTTTTTGCGACCCAAAGAAACCCTAATTCTAATCGAGGTTGGCACTTGGCAATGCACTTTCTCGTTTGGATTCAAAACTAAATCTCAGGGTCTCTTTTAATCTCTTATCACTCTCTATTTTCTTCGAACTTGATCAGACAAGAGAGAAATTCAGAAGTGAAGGTGGACAAAATGCAGAAAGTTACCTATTCTCCATGCAAGCTCTCAAATCTGAGTAGTTACAAACATTGAAAGCCTCATTGATCAAAGCATTGGCCATGATGTATGTTTCTCTACATATATAGTTCAGATCTCTTAATCATTTTTTGATGTAAAACTTTGTTTTCTCAAGCAACTGTATTGATTTGTGCTCTCTATCAAAGCACACACACCTTGGGAATCTTGGTTTACATGTATTGATTTCATACACATAGTTATACACGGTATGACAAGGTGAACAAAGAGCCCGTCTAGCTCAGTTGGTAGAGCGCAAGGCTCTTAACCTTGTGGTCGTGGGTTCGAGCCCCACGGTGGGCGCTTTTATTTTTGCTTCACGTACCTTCGTCCTAACTTGTTCTGTGTTAAATTACACACACACCCCTTCATTTTCGTAAAAATATTTTTTAGCGAATCAGGTTTATACCGTTTGTCATAGCTACCGCGGTGTGGTTTGCACACTCCTAGAAACTGCTGTGAGAAGAAGATGCTTCCTCTTTTATGCACAAGTTTTAGTTCCAACTAGGAGTGATAATCGACTATGCTCAGGCTCTACTTTTAACTTGGGGTGATAATCGACTATGCTCAGGCTTAGGCTTGAGCTCGATAACCAAGTTTTATGTCAAGTTCAAATTCAGTTTGTTGAAACTTGTTTTCCTCAACAAACTCAAATTCAAGCTTAAGCTCGTTTTCATGCTCGAATTAGAATACAAGCAATTCAAATATACCTTTGCATTCATCCTAATATTACAAGCAATTCCAACAACTACCACAACTCCTCCATTCAAGAAATTATCAAACATCTATATAATAGAAACTAATCTATCTAATATTAGAGACTTGTTCAAATCCAATGAAGAAAAGCACATAAACCAAATGTTTTAACAAATCCACTACTCCAACAGCACAAACATCACCATTCCAACCGGGGGCAAAGCCAGGAAGTTTTTGCAGTGGGACAAACTAAAACTCAATATTAAATTGAAGGGTTAATCATAATTTGTACCCTAAAAGATGACTGAAATTTTAATTTACATCCTCAAAGTTTAAAAATATTAATTTACATTCTGAAAAATATATATTTGTATCAATGTGCACCGGAATTAACTATCGTCCATTTTACAATTATAGAAGTTTGGACTAATTATAAATTGTACCTTCAAAGTTTCAATATTTCACATTTTTTATTCAAAAGAAATTCATCCATTAATATTCGTTAAATACCACTCAACTGTGTCGCATTGTAACATTTTTTGTATTGTGTCATTTTGTGTCTTGTCGTGTTCGAGTCAACAAAAAAATATTTTTAAACAAAAAAATTATTTTTGTGCCAAGTCAATTGCATTGTGTCGCATATTTCACATTTTCATATAATACTATTTAAAATTTTTTAAAAATTCTAAATACCCATTTTTTGTCAATATTATTTATTAAACAGCAATTTTTTGCCTAAAGTTAGACACGAATCTTTTGACTATCCATTCAAATTAAAGTTAGATATGAATAGCACGATTTAACGGGTACTATAGACAAAAAATAACTATTTCACGAGTATTGTAGGCAAAAAATAACTATTTAATGATATTAATGGATAGAATTCTTTTTGAATCATAAATGTTAAATATTTAAACTTTGATGGTATAATTTTTAATTAACTCAAACTTTTTGACGGCAAAATTGATGACAGTTAGCCCTAATATTGATGCGAATTTATGTCTTTTAGGGTATAAATTGATATTTTTAAATTTTGAGGGTATAAATTAAAATTCGAATAATCTTTTGAGGTCCAAGTTGTGATTAGTCCTAAATTAAAATCTAACACTACATTATTTTCACAAAAAAGATTTTTTTTTTAAAAGATAATTTCATTAAAAGAAGAGATATAACTCATTTGGGAGGTTAACACTGGCCATTTCGTAGATAATTTAGAATTTCATCCCAATTAATAGAATGACAAACTGAAGTTTTTATTTTTAGCATAGAGTGGTGGTGGTAAGAAAAACTCCTACATTTTTTCAGGAAGACATTTTTTTTCTCAATAGTTTTATTTTCAATTGGACTCTAAAATGATAAGTAGAAAGAATAGGTGTGAAAGTTTATAAATCACATGCATAATCAATCGATATGTTCCCTTAAAGGTCTATAAATCAGTTTGTTCAATGATAGGGACTAAGATGCTTCATCCCCAAAACTTCTAAAAATTTCAGTGGGGCCAGCTGTTCCACTGCCACCTCTGTAAATCCGCTCCTGATTTTATCAACAATTTGAAATGATTCTGAAGAATCAGGTAATTTTGCTCTATATTGTCCCATAGAATGGGAAGCACTCAGGGATTAAATCTGTACCGGGATATCCTCTTTTCATCGAAAGATTTTGGTTGACTTGCTGCGTTCGACAGTAGTCTTTCACCTCTCTTCGCTAGTTGGGAGCTCGTCCCATATCGGAAGAGAGCCGTCTCCCCCCTACCATCTAAGTTTTTCCTTTTTATGGAGGAGGTTCATATGAAACGTAGGCTTATATGACGGGGTCTCCCCCTCCTCCATATGAAGCGTATATGGAACCTTGGGTTACACGTGGGATGACAAAAAGGATTGGCTCGTGTGCATGGAACCTTGGGTTTTGTAATTTTTCTTTTTCATTTTTCTTTTTCGCGGTTTTCCTTTTTAACTTTAACGGAAAATTGGGCCCTTTTGTGTTCCTCTTGTTTTTTCTCATCTTTCTATCTTTTCTTTTCTCTTTTCATTATAACATCGAGGGTGACTGAAGAATGATCTATGTAGTTTGGTGAGCTTCGCATATATCATAGATTCAAATGACCTTATAGGATTAGGGTGTGGATCCAATTTCTTACAAGGATATTACATTGGTTTGATACCTCTTTTTTATTTTCGTAAAAAAAATCGTATATTCTTTTTGCTTTTCATTTTGGAACAATGGTCTAGACCAATTGATTTCCACTAAATTTTTTCGAATTGCCACGAGTCCATGACACAAGTATAATTAATAAAGTGAGGTCACTACTTTTATTCGTCAATGAATTTAGAGATTTATATCTGTTTAGTATTATTTGGTTTTACAAATTCAGGTGACGATAAAATTATTTAGAGGTCTTCAACAGCGAGTGTGGGCATGATAAGGTTTATTATTTTTTTTTTAAAAGTGGTTTTGATGAAAATGAGCTGATGTCCAATTGACTAACTCATGATATGGTGCTATATTTAGTTTTTCCATCATTTATTTCGATTCTTTCTAAAGTTTGTGCCTTTTCTTTTTAAGTGCATATTGCTCCATAAATAGCTTGGCCCCTCAACTTTTTAAGATAG